AACAAATCTATCCCGCGGGAACCGTACATTTTTCTGGGATAAAAAGTAGCCTATGTGTTATTCTAATATCTATACATATAATAAAATTGTAACTAAGCCGAATTTGTACATTAAATATTTTTTGTAAAATCTAATTGAAATAGACATTATTATCGATACAGAGGCCGAATCTATAGTTTTTAGAATTTTTGTCTGTCTGTCTATCTGTCTGTCCGTCTGTTACCGCATCATAGAAAAACCACTGGAGGGATTTTGATGAAATTAGGTATGGTGATGTCTGATTATCCGGGTCAACATATAGGATACTTTTTACCGCGGGAAAATATCTCATTTTTGATAAAAAATATAAAAACTGCAATGTAAGAGTATAATAATATGTAAAACCTAAGAATTTGGTTTTTGTTTATCTGAACGCGGGCGGAGCCGCGGGCAATGCTAGTATGAGCTATATTATTGTAATGTTTCATTTAAATCCATTCAAAGGTTTTACCGTGAAAGAGTAACAAACATCCATACATCTAAACTATGAACGAATTAGTGGCTATAATAAATAGAACTTTCGCATTTATAATATTAGTAGGATTATATTATGACCAATTAGTAATTTACTAAATAAAATATTTAATGTAATGTATGTATAGTAATATTTTGCTCACGCAAAAAACTATGGACGAATTTTACCGCAACTTTGTAGACTTGGGAATGCAAAAAACATCACTTCAGTGTTCTTCACCGCAATCAAATAATGAGCAAAAACAAAATTAATATACAAACTGAACAAAACTCTAAAGACAAAAACTAAAGTCTAAGACTTAGTCGTCTGACATTCCATTGAATAACTTTGCTTACCTGGTACGTAAAATCCCATCTCCTAATTGTTCAGAATGTGACGTTATCGAAGATGTTTACCATGTCCTAGTGGAATGTGTCCGAAATGAGGTCGAAAGATTAGAATTATTGAGCAATATAAATTTATTTGAATTAGGTGCATGCAATTGTATTTTAGGTCGTCCTGAATCAAAGGAAGCTAGAGTATTATATAAGATTTATAAAATAGCTGTAAAGCGTCGGTGAGTTTTTTGTAGTTGCTCCAATGAGGGTGGCATGTTCAATTTATGAACAAACCCTCTTTAAAAATAAAATAAAGATTTAAAAAAAAAAAAAAAAGACTTAGTCGTCTGTCACTACTTTTAAAAAACACGTACACCGGGAATAAAGTGGAATAGATGCATAAATAAAAGAATTTATGAGAAGTCTTTATTAATCTATACAAAAAGTATTACAATTTACTAGCTTTTTCCCGAAGTTTCGTATGTGCAATTCAATTATCTATAACATTATTAAAGATATATTTTTAAAATATTACTGTAAAGTTTTATCAAAATCAGTTTAGTGGTTTTTGCGTGAAAGAGTAACAAACACCCATCCATCTTCACAAACTTTCGTGTTTATAATACTTAATTGGTACGTTTTAACGGTTAGTATAGATTTTTCAGAAATGAGATATTTTCCCGCTGTAAAAAGTATCCTATATGTTGACCCGAATAACCAGCTATCGTCATACCAAATTTCATCAAAATCCCTCCAGTGGTTTTTCTGTGATGCGGTCACAGACAGACAAACAGACAAAAATTCAAAAAAACTATAGATTCGGCCTCTGTATCGATAATAATGTCTATTTCAATATTTACCAAAAAATATTTAATGTACAGATTCGGCTTGGTTACAATTTTGTTATATGTATAGATTATTTTTCATCTGAATACAGATTACAGACAATACTTTACTGTTTCATCCTTATTAGGCAGTAGATCCACAGACACACAAATCCGTGCAAAATTTTACATACATACCTATATATCCTATATATAGACAATATCTATGCAGGCCGAGATATAGGCACTAGAGGTTGACAAAATTGCAAAATCTCTAAAAATATATTATTAATAACGACACTATTCCGAATATCGTAACACATGCCTTTTAACAAGTCTCAGATTACCTCATTAGGATATTTTGCTTCTCGCTCCAGTGACATCGACTAAGCTTTTGATACTTAGGTAGTTTATATATTAGTATTATTATGAAATGCTAAAAATTGACTAAAATTATCTTAATAAAAATGAGAATATCAACAAAACTTACGAATTAAAGCAAATGTTTATTTCGACAGATTGATAAATAACTGTATATATATTATAAAAATTTCTTATACATACAGATGAACACATCTAAGTAAAAATTAAACGTAATTAAATCTTAAAGATCTATATTGAATTCTCAAATTAATATAAAAATCTACTGAAATGAAAAAAAAACTTCGTATCTATATACTACTTACTGCTTCTAAATTTCCTCAAGATCTTGTTCATGTTACACTGGCACACCTGTCACTGGCACGCGCGCACTGCTAATGCTACTCAGGTACGTCACGGTTCGATTCCCGCGCGGTACCGTCACGGGGTGGTTAAACTCGTAAAGGGCGAATTGCTCATCGCAAATCACTGAGTCAGTAGGTTCTTATATGGATATCTTATTTCTTGTGTGGGTGTTGGTTGGGTCTTGATATCGTAATTCGCAATTAAAAATTTATATATAACTATATATTAAGTCTAAATTAAAGTCCCCACCGCGCTGTGTTAGGGTTTGCTCGGGTTCATCTCAAAAACTAAAGAAAAAAGTAAGATTATCTAAGAAACAGGGAACTATATATTTTATCTTCAAAAGAAAGTATGATAACTCATCTCTCAACTAAATAAAAATGCTAAAATGCAATACTAGCAGAACCCGCGGCTTAGCTCGCGCTAAAACTACAAAAAAACTCTAAAAAGGTAGTTTCATACAAACTTTCATCCCCTATTTTACCCCCTTATAGGATGAATTTCGAAAAATGCTAAAACACGTATTTGTTTAATTTTAGTTTCAAGTAATTCTGATCATAAATATTTTTTTGGATTGTATTATAACGTGTTTTCCCGTGGAAATAAGATAATCCCCCGCGGTAAAATGTAGCCAATGTCACTCTCCAGCGCTCCAACTATCTCCACACAAAAAATCACGTCAATCCGTCACTCCGTTTCGACGTGAAAGAAGGACAAACAAACAAATAAACAAACAAACAAACACACTTTCCCATTTGTAATTTTAAGTATTGATATAGATATTATCAAAGCACTTAAGGTGAGATTTTTCTTAAAATGTATCCCTTAATAGTATTAAAAATTAGATAGATATTTATGGAAGATAGTGACTTGAAGAAAGTTAGTAAAAAAGTTAAGAAATATGTGGATATTAATGTACGTACCTATTAGTTTTACTGCTTAAACATAACAAAAACCTAAGTATCATGGCAAAGCGGCAATGCGTCTATGGAGCCGGAGAACGCGTGATCAGTCCCATACATAAAAGGTAATTTCAAATTTGTGTTCCGGTCGACCCATACCTCCTTAAAAGGTAATTTGTGTTCCGGTCGACTTAAGACAAAGCGTGGCAATTGGCAAGTGACACAAAACAAAAAAAAAAGTTTGTATAGTAGGTACTTATAACCTAAAATAAATAAAACTATCTTTTCAGATTATTTCTCACGGGAGAGTCTCTCCCGTGACCATGGATGCTGTAAAGCATTCGAAACGTCGGGAACCAAAAATCAAAATAAATCCGCGAAATAATCCGAAAAGATAGTTTTAATTAAAAATGTCAAACATTCGCGTAAATCTAAGAAAGCATTATCTAAAATATATGGATTCAAAAAGTTTTTCAAAAACTAAATAACATTTTATTCTTTGTTGTTTGTTAACAAGCTCCATTCTTAACAACGTAAGTAACGAAACCATTGAACTCCTGTAGGCGGAAACACGCTTCACAAAGCGCGACGACATCGTGTGCGATATGCTACGCTGCAAACCATGAAACCTTATCTTATAACCATACAACGTTGAATATATGCATATGTATAGAATATAAATAAATATAAACCACAAGCCGACTTAAAAAAAAATCTTAAATGCGAATCGGACTCGCATACGAAGGGTTCCGTACCATAATTGCTTTTTTATAATTTTTTCAATTTGGATTTTTAAAAAAGCCTGCCATAGCCTTTTTGAAATTCGCCATCTTGTTTTTTTTAATTATTTGTTGTTATAGCGGCAATAAAAATACACACTCTGTGAAAATTTCAACTCTAGCTATTATGGTATTGGTTCGTGAGATACAACGCTCTGACAGACGGACGGACGGACAGCGGAGGATTAGTAATAGGCACCATTCATTCATTCATTACCACCCTTCAGGTAAGGAACCCTAAAAAAGGAGGAGGGATTAATTGTGTATTTTACGTGTTTGTTGATTTTTTGCTAATTGTAAATCAATTTTTAGATTTATTTTTAAGCAATTTAATTAGGTTATAACAGAAATCATATAAATTTCAAGAAAAAATATTGTTTATCGTAGAATTACAATGAAATTCGAACAAAGCAGGTACCTACTTTTTAGTTATTAAAAAGTGTGGTATGTGGACTAAATACACGACCGTGAAAAGCCACTGGCATTAACGAGTGAAGATGCCCGTTTTCACCAACAACCCATAAGCTATCACCTACGTATGGGATCCCTATCTTATAAGTCCCCTAAACTAGGACATAAATTAAATTTCGTTTTACGATCGTCTTTAAGCCCATATTTCGATCACCTAAATTTAGGGGGCCTTTTAATACCCCCCTATAGTGACCCCTAACTGTCGGTGAAACAGAAACTGTCCCCTAACAGCCCCCTAACCATGCTTAGGGGGTCCCTTAAACTTAGGTGACGGTGGTGAAATCGGGCAAGATACATGTATATAGTACTTAAGTACTCTGTATTGTATTTTACTACTTAAAACCTAAACTTTTTTGAAATGACATAAAAATGACGCTTTGTAAACACGTTTAACATATCCAAAATACATCTCGAATAGAAATACTTATAAAATTCTAATATTGGTCAAATATATTAACTAAACAAAAATGCATTTACAAGAATCTTTTTCAAAAACAACAATCGATGAACCATCTAAAACTAGTTATTCGGATTCCCCATCAAAAGTAAGTAAAATGACGGTTAATTTTATGGAAAACCGAGAAATACATAGAATAATTGTAGATAATATTGACTGCACTCCCGACAACATCATCGATCCCGACTATGGTAGTATGGATGAAAATTTTACACACGCAGCGTTCGATAATAAGCCACGTATTCGCAGTGAAATAGCTATTAAAGAAGCCAAAAGTAAATCCAAGTCTGGTGTCGACACGGGTATGAAAGTATATGCCACAACAATCTCCCTTGACGACATATATATCGATCACACATCGAACACTGAAGAAGGATTCACGTCTGATGAAGTTCATTTAGAAATAGCTCCATCCGCTTTCTACTTGCCTAGACGAGACACTATTATGTCGTATCCGCCGGAAATATTTGTTGTTTTAAAAGAAACATGCACACGTTTTCTGTTTAGTTTACCTAGCTTTTCGTATGAAAAAGGAACGCCTGAAGGAAATGCCGTGGAAGAAGAGAATGAATTTTACCAGTACATTACTGTAGGGAAAGGCAAAAACCGAAAAATGGTAACAGAAGAAACTCAAACTAAAGAGTGTGTAACACAAACAAGACATACTCTCGTTGTAAGACCTCAGAAAAAAAACGCAACTGCATTCGCTTCTACGTGGGACATGCATGACACCTATGCTCGTCTCGCCAGAGTGAGAGTTGAAGAAAAACCTGATGAAATGGTCATGTATCAGTCAGCTGCACCTACTTTATTGCGTAAGAAAAAACCTACATTCGAGTCCTTATTTGAAAGAAAAGGTAAGCTTTTTGATGAAATATCAAGAACTCCAGAATTTTTGGATGCTGTTCTTCTGACAGAGCGTGTTTTAGCAACATTAGAATATTCAAATGCGCAGAAAAAGTTTCGAGGCCTCATAAAAATAGATCCACTATCATTAGACTTAATTTACATTTACACAATGAAACATCTTTGGACGTTAGAGTGTGAGGAAACACAAGATAGACCCATAGCAAGTATTTCTTTCAATTCAAAAAATAAAAATATATTAGCTGTTGGTCATGGGAAATTTACATACGCTGAATATCATACGGGACTGGTCTGCGTGTGGTGCACAAAAAATCCGTGTAAGCCAGAAAGAGTGTATAATTTTCAAGACCCACTAACATCAGTGGCGTTTTCAGATAAAAATCCAAACTGGTTAGCGTGTGGCTTCGCAAACGGCGACGTATTAATTCTAGATGTCACATCTTATGACATCAAAACAATCGCAAAAAGTAAGCGAGATACGAATCCTTGCTTTGAACCAATCTGGACGGTAGACTGGCGAACTATCGACAAAGACAACCAGTACGTAATAACGACATGTCAAGATGGAAGAATAAATAAGTTCACGAGTACAAAAACCCATGATTTTATTTGCACACCATTGATGCGTATTTCCACAGTGGAGGGTAAGATGAAGGGGTTGGACGCCCCAAAACAATGTATCAAAGAAGATGTTCCAATAACAAGGTATCCAGCAGCATTGTGTATGAAATGGCACCCAAAAATTGAGCATGTTTATCTCGTCGGCACAGACGAAGGCTGCATTCATAAGTGCTCAACACATTATCTAAATCAACATATGGATGTTTTCAGAGCTCACGCAAGCCCAGTATATAGTATACAATTTTCTCCATTCATGGAACAGTTAATAGCTACTTGTGGGGCAGACAATGCGATCAGACTTTGGATTGAGGGCATCGATGACGTAATTCTTACTATGAACTGTCCTACCGCTGTATACGATATAGCGTTTTGTCCAGTAAATTCAACAATTCTCATATCAGCGAGTGGTAATGTCCTTTCGATATGGGATCTTAGACGAAAAACTCATATGCCTTGTGCAGAATACTCTTTCCCCGGACATGTGGTTCTAACGTACATCAAATTCTCACCCTCAGGAGACAACGTGTTTGTTGGTGACACGCTCGGACGTGTTCATACGTTCCATTTGGAAGACACGCCCATACCGCCTTTCGACCAGAAAAAATTGTTAGACGAAACGATAAAGAGAGCAATATGTACTCGACCCCAGTTGTTGAGGCAATTAGAAAAGTTAGAGAAGTTTAGAGAAAAGTTTGGTTAATTGATAATATATATAATTTACTTGTTACAAAGCCGAATCTGTACATTAAATATTTTTTGGAAAATCTTATTGAAATAGACATTATTATCGATAGAGGCCGAATCTATAGTTTTTAGAATAGTTGTCTGTCTATTTGTGACCGCGTTACGGAAAACCATTAGAGGGATTTTTATGAAATTTGGTATGATGATAGCTGGTTATCCGGGTCAACATATAGTATACTTTTTGCTGTGGGAAAATATCTCATCTTTGAGAAATCTTTAGGTACTAAACGTTAAAACGTAAGTAGGGAAGAACGCGAGCGGCGCGAGGGTGAGTCACTAGTATGACATACATATAAGCACTGACAGATTTGTCAAAAATAATATTCCTTTAATTACCTACTAACACTAAAATCATAGGTATCTTATTATGAGAATTATGTATGTAATTATCTAGGTATTTCTAACTATTGTATGTTGATGAATTGAAGAGACTACACACAAATCTAATGCATCAAAATATAATTTGTCATTCTAAAATTACTAAGGGAAACCGAGTTTCGCTCTGCGTTTTTAATTTTTTTTTTATTTTATAAAATGGGTTTTCCGAAGAAGTTGCGTTTTTTCAAAAACCCACGACGTTCCGCCGTCCATTCAGCTATAGTGCGTAACCTATGCTGTTGACTGTACATATTAAGGTAGTATGTTCCAGTAGCTTTATTGTTAATTATTATGTATTCTACAACACAGGTTACGCACGACGGCTATATTAATCATATTACGCTTAAATCTCGTGGGGTTTTGAAATTTTTAATTTGTTTTATGAGTCGATTATTTAAATTTTAATAGTAAATAACATTTATTTAAATTTTAAACTGCCTTATTTTTACTTGAGTAATTAAGCAAAAATTGCCGTTTTTTAAAAACATGTGTATACTGTATCGCCCCGTGGAGGTTAATAACATTATAAAATTTACCTAAGAACATGCTCTGGAATGAGACATATACAAAGCAAAAGACCGTTTCAAAATCGGCTTAACCGTTTCCGAGAAAAATGGTAACAGACACACAAACACCTCTTACCCCAAACGCTTAAAATGTCTACGCGACCGTCGCTGATAATAAACAAGAATTGCTCATTTAATATTAGAGTCCATCCACACTATAGTGCCGACCAGCTGTTCTCGGTCTGATAAACTATTTTTATATAAAAAACGTTGCTAGGGTGTGACTGTATCGGAACTTGATTTTTATTGATAGTCTGAATACACTTATTGTTTCTTGTATAAAAATACTTTACTAGACCAATATCGGCCAAGAACGAACCGTGATCGGCACTGTAGTGTGGATCGGGCCTTATATGAAAAAAGTACGTACGAAGTAAGAATCCAAATAAAACACTCGGTAGCCTTCCACTCTTTATTCATACACATTCGTGAGAATACAAGAATTAATTATATTAATAATTAATTTAAATACAAAATATGCTTAAATTATAAATATAAATTAAATTTATTTCTTATAGAAATGACTAGGGTTTTGAGAGCATTTGAAGCTGATATTCTTTCTTTAGTTCCTTCAGATTGGTTTCTAGTATCGCCACCTGCAATAACAATACCGATAAAGTGTTATAATCAAAATTTAACGTTTCTAAAAATTCTGTTAAAGGTCTGAATTCAAAAATCATTTTGATAACGGACAAACAGCCAAAACAAAATACACGGTTTTATATTGATGTAAATTTAAATAAATAATTATAGTATAGTTTTATATATGTATTTTACAAATTATTTAAATCATTTTATTATATTGTGTTTCAAAATCTCACAGTAACAAATGCTTATATCGAATTACTAGCAATAATAGTTAATACACGTTTGCTAAAAATACAACACAAGCACTCTAATTATTCATAGTGCGATCTATTTTTAAAGATTTCATTACGACAGTCAAAATTGGCTGTTTCGATTTTGATAAAGCTTCACCCTACAGCTGCGGGATAGATTTCAATAAAATTAAATGTTTTAATGCATGTGTTTAGACTTAATAGAGCGAAATACACTGTCTTAATCAAGAAATCTCAGAATATGTACAAGTGCTGCAAGCTTGAAAGTTGCCAAATTTATAGATTCCTTACAAAAAAAAGGGGTTTTTGGAAATTCAAGGGGTAAAAGAGGGCTTCAAAATTCGTATGAATACAACTGCCATTTATCTATCTATATTCTATTCTTAAAAATGACAACTAAATTGCGTCTAAAACAAGCGTTAAAAATCTCATTTTTGCGATATTTTAAATAGCTTACTATATTATACATTAAGCTTATACGAGTATTTGCAGGTTATGAACGACCTAAAATATGTACGTAAAATAGTTATTACGTTTATTCATAGCAAGAGTATAATATTTTAGAGTTCAGGAATATCTCAGTTGAGCGAAAATACATTCATAAATAAATAACAATGCGTCGTCCAAATAACATTCGTAGGAGTTTCAAGCGTATTCCTACACTTAATATAACTAAGGTAAATAAAATGTCTAATAATCGAATATTTTGATATATCTACATAATATACATACATATATTATATACTAAGATAAATATATTATTAGGGAAATTAGAAAACTTTGTGCGGAAAATTACCAGCGATCGCAAAACGTTGCGATTCTGACGCCGGAATCCAAGCCTGAAAAGGCAATGGAAGAATAAAATAATAAAAAAAGTAATAATTGCTAACATACTCGTACATATTATGTTTGTAAAACGATAACTCAACTATTACTAAGCCGAAACTGTACATCAAATATATATTTTTTGGAAAATCGATAAAAATATATAATACATAATTATCGATACAGAGGCCGAATCTTTAGTTTTATTGGAATTTATGTCTATTTATGTCTGTGACCGCATTACTAAAAAACCACTGGACAGATTTTGATGAAATTTGATATGACGCTAGCTGGGTATGGAGCGAGGCTGAGTCGCTAGTGTAATAATATTATCTTAGAAACTACATGTTCAAGATATGTTACAGATTTAATTTTGCTATTGAGATAGCCTTAAAGTCTTAAAATAAACGTCAATCTACACTAATATTACTAAGAGGTAAGATTTGTAAGTTTGTATGTGAGTGATAATATCTGAAACTACTGATCCTATTCTGAAAATTCTTTCACTGATACGAAGCTATATTACCGCTGAGTGCTGTACGCTATTTAATGTTCCGATAAAAATATGTTCACTGTCGAAATAATAATAACTTTGATTTAAGTTAGAAAAAAAATGGCTGAGTTAAGGGGCGTCCATTAATTACGTGAGCTGTTTTTCTTTCAATTTAGACTCCTCCCCCCTTTGGTGAGATTAAGTGAGATTTGGTGGAAATCCACCCTTCTTCCAACCACGTGAGATTGATTATACTTTCTTAAAATGACAGCTTATCAGATTAATATTTTTCATTTTTCATTTGTAAAAGTATATAGTAATAGTGTTACTTAGTAAGTTGTTTTTAAATAATTACAAACTAAATAAAAATTATTATCCTTAATTAATTTTAACTTTTTAAATTACACATAGAACAATTATATGGCTTAAATAATTAATACTATATTTTATATTTTTCTTTATGGTTATAAATATAATAATGGCAACACTAAATATAGATTACTAATTAATATTTTTAAAATTGTAATAATTATAAAAATAATAGCAAAAATTAAATAAATAATATTCCATATTCAATTATAATTAAAATTATAAAAATGTTTAAAGTTAAAAAATATTGTAATGTGTAATTGGTGCAATTTTCATTTTTGTTAATTGTGGGTAAGCTGTCTGTAACAACTATACCTTCAAGACATGTAACACCTCAGTCTCTCCCGTGACCATGAATGCTGTAAAGCATTCGAAACGTCGGGAACCAAAAATCAAAATAAATCCGCGAAATAATCCGAAAAGATACTTTTATTTAAAAAAAAACACGTGAGATTAATTACGCTAAAGTTGTTAGACTACATTTATTTTCATAATATATAAAACCAAAACAGCGTCCAGATATTTTCAACGGGCAAAATAGGACTTTGAAAGAAATTAAAGAAAAAAAAATGTTTTTATTATATGTGTAATATATATTTTTCTTTAAAGGTGACGTCAGATCTTCCATTATGGCGCTCCCAGTTTAAATGAGATTTGATGAGATTTTATTGGATTACCCCCTACAACCTCACAAACTTTACCTCTTATAATATTGCGAACCAAGTGTAAAACGCTAGTAATAATAAAATTATTTAATAAACCTACCTCTTCAAACCTCAGCTCTTTCCGAGCTTCCTTTATATAACCTCTAATAATATTCATCTGTTCCAATATAGGATTGTCCTCATCGTGATGTGTTCTGCTACTCTCTCCCTCATCTTTCCGTCTCTCTCCCACGTCATCTCTCCACAGTCTATCTCTCTCCGTTTTCTCTCTCTCGATCTGTATCTGCTTCTGGGCACGCTCGTATCTTTGTTTCCGTACTTCTTCTATTTGGGCTTCGGTCGGTAATTTACGGAGAGATAAGAGATCTTCCTAAAGACAATATTTAGTATTGCAATATATGTATAATGTATATACAGATAAATAAAATTGAAGTGTCTGTTTGTGATGTCAAAATACCAGCTTTTTACTAAATGCGTGTGAAATTGTCTACGGTATTGAATATTGATGAGAAAAACAATTTTTTTATTTTTCTTTGTCTGTTTGTTCCGGTTAATCTCCGAAACGGATTGACTGATTTTAATGAAACGTTCACTGTCACATAGCTGATGTTATAAGAAGTAAATTGGGCTACTTTTATTTAAGAAAAGAGTTAGAGTACCGCTAAAAAAAATTAAAACGCACCTAGGGACGCACCCGCACGAAGCGAGTGTAAGTTGTTAGTAGTTTAATAAGATGAAAAGAAGATACATACTGCCTTTTATAGGACACACACAGAATTAAAACTAAGACTATGTCTTAAGCTACCAATAAAAATATCATTAAGTTATGTTTTTTACTCATTATGTAAAATGTTGGAGTATAATATACTAGCAGTGCCCGCCCGCGTTCAGATGACCAAAAGCCAAATTCTTAAGTTTTACATATTAGTATACCGTTAGAGATAGAGTTCCGAGAGTTAGGACTTTTTGATTGGAGATTTCCTCCTCTTTCAGGATCCTTTTCTCATAATTCCTTAAATACCATTAGTTTAGAAATTAATAACGAAAACCTAAATACCTTTTTTTCATCTTATTTTGTTAATAACAATCGCAATTTTTTATGTGCTATTAAACCATTTAAAACATTTTTCTAGACGTTATTCCGAATCGGATGAGCTATCGCACATATTTTTAGGAGCTTTATTTCTATTTAACACGTTTTTGAACTTGTTAGCTAGACTAAAAGGGCTGAATACAAAAGTTCAATGTACCATTTTTGATATAATTATAATTAAAAAAAAATACTTTATTATTGTACCTTTATATATTGAGCAGCGGCTTGTCTTATAGCATTCTGAAGTTTGGCCTGCCTCGTGTTAGGTTCCGCCGGCAGTGCTATAATCTGTTTGCTCAATAGATCTATACCCTCAGCTAATTTGCCGATGCGTCCTCGCATTGCGTTTACATCTTGCAAATTATAGGTGGTTTCACCGTCGAATAGACTTTGACACATCTGTAATAATAATTCATACCCTGGATTAACCCTCATTATCAATATTTAATATTATAAATGAGAAAGTTTTTAAGTGCAAGTGTCTAACTACAGAACAGTTATCTGATTAAAAATCTTTTAATAATTAAAGGTATCACAGACAGTCCTCTATGCAGAGAAACTCCAACTCAAGTTCCACTTATCTGCAGTAAACTTGAAGATACAGATGACAGAAATCTTTCATTACTACCTACTACTGGCAACCTGCTTGTTTACTGCAATGCCATGGAGTGAAAAGAAAAAACACAATTGTGTGTAAGTGTTGCCTACTTCTCTATCCTTTGGCTCATTAAAATTATTTTATTTATAGTATCAAGTATGCATTATATTATAATTTATACATATAATAAAATTGTAACTAAGCTCAATCTGTACATACTGTACATACAATATTTTTTGGAAAATCTTATTGAAATGAACATTATTATTGATACAGACGCCAAATCTATAGTTTTTAGAGGTTTGATGAAATTTGGTATGGTGAGAGCCGGTTATTCGGGTCAACATATAGGATACTTTTTACCGCGGGAAAATATTTCATTTTTGAGAAAAAATGCAAAAACAGTAGTATACTAATCTATAAAACCTAATAATTTGGTTTTTGGTCATCTGAATGCGGACGGAGCCGCGGGCAATGCTAGTATATTATGTAGTATGCAAAATGTTTAATACCTTTTCATACATAGCCACAGCGGGCTGAGCTTGATCCATCAAACTCCGCATCTGTTCATATGCAGTCATAAGAGTGGTTTTAGCATTTCTATTCTCTTGCACTTGTTTCCTCAATTCAATGAGATTATAGCAATGTTCACAAAGACGGAGGCCATTCTTCTCATTCACTTCTTCAGCTTGTGATGTAGAAGGTGCGGACGGATCTACTATAGTTTCTGTAAAGAAGCATAATATGATTAGTATTACCAATGATGTTGTCATATATTTTTAAGCTGTAGTCACTTATGAATTTAATTCTTTCATACAATTTACTAAGTATAATTACAGACAAATTTTAATTAATGTTGTAATGGATTATCATTTCAAATATTTTTTTAGAAAAGAAATTAGCTATTAAGCTAAAAAGTATTTTACCATATACTTAGGTTAAACTTGAAATCTATATGTCATTTTAATCATTCATTTTAAATTGTTGGTTTCAATGTTATGATTTACTTTAATATTTTGTATAGGTATATTTATATTGATAATATTATTATAAATTACATGTTATATTAAAAATATGTAATGCAATGTAGTATATATTGAATGGCAAACATTTACATCATATTAACATGTGATAAAATATACTTACTTGCTATGTTTAAGTCTAGGAATATGGAGCAGTCATGACAAAGAATGGATCCACAAAGCCTACAATGATGCTTCCGTCTTGTTAAATTAAATGCCTTAGCACAATTTGGACAGAGTTTTACTGATGAACCATCAAGCCACGGTACAACCTGGAAATGTTATTAATTACTTCAATTACTTAATAATTTACACGATATTTATTTATTTACTAAGAACATCATTTTCGCATATAATATCACAAACAGTTTCTATGTTAATAACAGCTCGTTCATATAGATCAAGAACAAAGTGGAACCCAAAACACTGCCCTGGGGAACTGGATATAAATTTATAGTGCTCGGAATTTTATTGGTAAAGATTTAATAAGATAAAGAAAGATAAATACTTACTTCCTGTTCATGTTGTTTTCTTTGGTTTGGGTCACTTGGCATATTACACACTAATTTATCTAGTCTGATCAACAATTTATTAGTCTCAGTAGCATATCTCTCCAGTCTCGCAGACCGCACAGCCTTGAAATAATCTGTTGAACTTCGAGATCCGCCTATCGTCTGCTCTTCCAAAGGATAGTTGTATTCTTGAGAATTAAATTTTAAAGCGCGATCGAATGTTTCAGTCAAGTCCGTATCATCATTATTCAAAATAATCTTTCGAGCTTTGCCGAAAATTTCTTTTAAAGATTTAAGAATATCCTGTTCTTCTTGATGCAGGCTTTCAAAGTGAGTTGTAAGTTGACTTGCTGATTTAAGATCAGCCTTACAAATGGGACATAAAAATCCCTCTAATATTTCTTCTTCACTAGCAGCTGCCATTGTTTTACATTAACAATACATTTCAAATTGAATTTTTAATTCTAATTTAATTTGTTTAGATTACTTTTCATACACCCACTGTCATGATCTGTAATGAAACGTCATAGAATGATATTGCGTTTCGTTATTGCGTTTGCGACGTCAACGATCAAAATAATATGTAATAGTACCATTAATATTTTCTATAAATTAAGTTTCTTTTCTAAAGTTACAGTTTCAATAAATTGTTTTAATTTTATTTCGTTTAATATATTAATGTGTATATTTTAGAAATAGATGTTTACCATGACTAGAACAATGAAATACATACATGGATATTAATAAAAATCTAATGCAGCAAAAACGAAACGTAGATACGAGTAGTATTGTTTTATTTGTCATCCATGGTTTGAACTTTGAAGTAAAAATTATAGATAATATAAATAAAAATCCAGGCTGTACTTTACCACTCATATCTAACAATTAAAAAAAATACTACCAACCTTAAGCATACTATAGTAAAGGAACTTATGAAGTTATTTATATATACACTAGCAGTATCCGCGGCTTCACCCGCGTCCAAACTTCCGATCGCTAACCAAATTCACAGGATCACCCGCTGGGGTAATCTGAAGATTACCTGAAAATTTAATCAAAATCGCTCCAGCTGTTTTGGAGTCCATAGGAAACGTACACACATCGAGTTTTCTTTTAATTAACAATCAATTTAAATTTATTTATTGCTCGGAAAGTGGAGTATTTTATGAAAATTTAGTGACACACCGACTGTAGCGCCACCTACTGGGTCCATTTGTGGTTTCAAACCATCCAGAAGCCCATTGAAATATACACACAAAATTTCATCCAAATCGGTCCATTCCTTAAGGAGTAGGTTAACAAACACACGTACAGAAGAATTATATATATATTAAGATAAATGATTTCCTTAATATATAGTTTATAGTAGTATTTACATTCAGACCTTTTAACATCCCACAGCTAGGCACGGGCCTCCCTGAGGTGGATCAGACCCAGGGCTACCACATAACAGTCGTTCATTTACCCGACCAATAACCTCAAAAATACCTGGTTTATCCCGCCGGCTCACTATGGGTAAATTATGACAAAAAGTCGGTCAAAACTATATTCAGACTATAAAAATAAAAATACTTTCGCGAATATTTAGACCTATATTTAGACTCCCCCCAAATTATTCCACTACTGCCAAACGAATCGACAAGACGATGTGCCGGGATCACTTTCAACAGCACATCGTCCACCCCCTTTGACTATGCCCGTGTCGAGTGGTGGATCCCCCGTGTCCATCCACCCGATGGTCCTCAATTAAGGGGGTAACAGAACGGCGACGTCGTGCCGCCGTCTGCGCCCCGCGCGCCTGCGGCAAATCGGGTCCGACTGAACGTCGACCGCATGCTCGGCGGCCTCCTTCTGCTGCTACATCACGAATTCGTAGAAGGATAGCATAGCGCGCCAGCACCTCTCCTCGCCGACCATGGCACGCACCACGGCTGGCAAGGACAGGTCTGGCCCCACTACCTCACAGAGGGCGAGCCGTTGTTGCACCCATGCAGGACATTCCTGCTGCCTGCCTACTTGGATAAAAAAGTATTAAATTTTGCCGTTAGACAAAAATAAAAATAGTAAATTAGTAGTAACGGGTCTGTTAACAAGATAGTTTTATTTATCATAATAATCTCACACATCTTACTCAGATCTTTATTCAGCAGGATGGACGCAGTTTTAGTCATATCAATGTTTATTTATTTATTTTTGTGAAATGTACTGTTTTGAAAACATTACGAAATCTGGTCTGATTTTATATTCATATTTAAAATATATATATAGTTTATAGAGTAATAATGGGCAAAAAATTAAGCTTCTCTTTGTTCCATGTAAACAAATATTTTGTTTTTAGGGGGCCCAATTAGGCTGGGGGCACTGGGCCGGTACCCCGTGTATTTGTTTATGGTAAAGACGGTACTGAGTAGGCAATATAATATCTCCTGCGCAGTTTGCTAGTCTCAATGAGCATGTCGCCGGCAACCGAGATCGGTCGGGAGGTTATTCAGATTACAAAACCTCATTAGAAGTCCCACAAAGTTATTAAAGAATAAAACAAAATTTACATTATGGATTTCATATATTCTGTAACATTTTTATACAAATCTTTTAACTCGTTTAATATATCTTGCGTTTCGGGCCAATCTTGTTTTTCTGCAGCTCTTATCACTGCCTGTCCAGTCAAGCGAGCTGATGAAAGTTGTTGATTGGCTTGTAGATGATCCTTATCTTCTGCCTCTTGCCTCGCTTTTAAACTATAATCTAGTAATAGTTCTGCAAGTTGAATTACCTTTTTACATGTTTCTGGGTTATTAGGCCAATTGCCACTCTGTAAAATAAAAAATAAAATTATATACATGCATGGTTGTCTATATAGATAAATAAAATAGAAGGTGTCTGTTTGTTAATATAAAAAAAAATGTGTATGTGTACTTTTATGTACGCACGTAAGAAGTCATACTTCTTATGCATAACAGAAAAAAAATAGCTAAAGATTTCATCCCGTATGTCACAACTTTTTTTGTAAAAGGAATGATAAATTAATAAAAATAAATATTTTTTTATCTCCACTGATATAAAACACGTGTTATAGATTTATGAATATTTGAGAAACTACTTTCAATGAGTTGATGAGTTTTCACGCGGACCGGAGACACAGTTATCAGCTTACTTCATCATGTCGCTTTTTGGCCGTCGGTGTGCGCGAGCATCGTAAAAATTTGACTCTCATATTTTTTTAACAAACGTGCCAAAAAAAGTACAACTTCTATAACAGCTTTTTACTAAATGCATATGATATAATAATATATACACGATATTTAAAGGAAATTGTTTTTATTTTGTATATTTTATCTGTCTGTTTGTTCTGGCTAATCTCCGAAACGACTGGACTGATTTTGACGGGACTTTCACTGACAGATAGCTGATGTTATAAGTAACTTGGCTACTTTTCTATTATTCAAAAAAATTAAAACGTACGTAGTGTACGTAAATCGCTATATATTAGAATATATTGATTTACTAGCGACTCACCCTCGCTTCGCTCGGGTTCGTCCCTGGTAAAGAATAAAAACAAATCTATCCCACGGAAACCGTTTATTTTCCCGGAATAAAAAGTAACCTATGTGTCTATAACCGCCGAGAGTAGAAAATAATGTAAGTACTAATATTGCTATTAAGAATTGGGTGTTGGTAGTAGAAGGGTGAAAATTTCGGTCTATGTTTTTGTAATGCCGAATCATAAAAAAATATAAATAAAAATGTTGTCCAAAAAAAATAAATAAATCTTTAGGGTGGACCACTCTTATCACTTAGGGGTATGAAAAATAGTTTACGTCCTATTCTCAGACCTATTGAATATACACACAAAATTTCATAAGAATCGGTCAAGCCGGAGGAGTTTTGTTGCAAACACTGTGACACGAGAATTTTATATATTAGAAGAATATATATATATATATATATATATATATATATATATATATATATGTATATAATTACCTGAGTGAATCCTTTATAAGCTTTTAATAAGCGTTGTCCTTTCAACAAATACGTTGGACTTAAATCAGAATACAATTGCCATAACTCAGGTTTATTTTGATGGATGGATGTTATTCTGCCAAATAACTCCAATGCACGTTTCCGTAACCTGATGAAAAGAAAAACAATGATGAAAAAAAATTCAATCAATATGTTTTAAAATTAAATTCGCAGCTTTTAACATTATGTTAATTTGAACTTTATATGACAATACTTTAATTAAAATACAGTACTTTTAACCGATTTCCAAAAGATTCTATGTTTGTCTGTTTGTTTGTTTTTTTTTTAATAGAGCTTCACGTAATTTCATAATTACCACCTATAGATAAACACGAGCATATTAGCTTATAATATTAATAATTTTTTTGGCTATTTATAACCTAAAATTAAATCCATAAATCAGGGGAAAAATGGAAAAATAATAAGAAAATCGGAATATATAAGGGGAAACGTAATGTTTTTTTTATTACAATATTTGTTTCAAAAAATAAATTTATTACAATTGTGACAAGACAGTGTCTGTTAGATCAGATAGTTTTAAAAAATCAGCCATAAATTATTTTAACCTGGCAGCACTGTTCCCGTCAGCATCCTTGTTGTCTTGAACAATAGCTTTCACGAGTAGGGAGAGAAGTTCCACGTCTTCATACTTGTGCTGCAAGTCGAGAATCCTATGGCAACTGCGAATGACATCCTCGAAGTGTCCGGTATCTATACTCACCAGTATTACATTCTCCCAAAGCTGCATATGAAGCAATATTATAAACGATATTAATTAATAACAGAAACCCGTAGCTACGCCCATGTGTTCTCCAAAAAAAACCTCTTTAGCTTTATGTTATACACTCGCTATGTATTTATATAATACTAGCGGCTCAACCTCGCTTCGCTCGGGTTCTCATACCCACCAAATATACAAATAAAAATATTCATTAAAATCAGTCGAGCCGTTTCGGAGATTAGCCCGTACAAACAGACAGGGAAACAAAAAAATTGTAATAAATCTGGATTTGTTCTTTTTCTCTTCTTATATCCCCCCGACTCGGTTTTTAGCATTTTTTTCTATGTACAGACATTTGACCTCTAACAGTTTTATTATATGTATGTATAGATTATGGAACGCGAAAATTTAAAAAGTTATAACGACAAAAGAGACAATTAAACTCACTTTCCAATTATCGTAGTTGAATCTCAACGCTTCCATCAAAGCTCGGTACGCGCGGTCCTTGTCGCCTTGCTTCACGTACACTTTGGCCAAATTATTCCACGCTTCGAATGTGTTCGGTTGCAAATATGTATACCTTCTGTACGCTTTAGCTGATAGCTCCCACTTCTCTGTTGTTAGAGCTGCGAAACTGTTAGATGAGAAATGTTTATAATTATGTATAATCTATACTAATATTATAAAGAGGTAAAGTTTGTGAGTTTGTGACGTTGTAGGGGATAATCTCTGGATCTACTGAACCGATTTAGATGAAATTTGGTAAGAAGATATTTTGAGACCTTGGGAAGGACAGGATACTTTTTATCCCGTAAATCATCCCTTGAGAGGGTGAAAATGGGGATGAAAGTTTGTATTGGTAAGCAAGCTAGGGACGAATCCGAGCGAAGCGAGGGTATCGCTAGGAGATTTATAATATAAATAATTTTGGATTTTTTGTCGCTCTGTCCTTCTTCGGACAGACTTTGTCCAATCGAATAACTAACTGGATTTACATCTTCTTCTATAATTCTGCCCACCTGAGCCTAAAGTGCAGTAATAGACATTTTGGTCGGTTTTGAGTTAAATATATATTCTAAATCCCCATTTTAGTAGCTATCAGTCAAATTAATTCTTTTTTCTGTAGCGCTAATAAAAGTATTTTATTTTAATATTTTTTTGGAAGATTTAACAGCAAAAATATCACAAATCTGTTAAAATATTCCATGTTTACCAGCTAAACCGCAGTACAATTAATACTGCACAAGATTTTTCTCTGTTTCCTAACTAAACTGCAGTGTTTTACCATATTTTGTGGCACTTAAAATAGTAGTTTGTTCTAGAAGATTCAAGAAAAAACTTATTAAAATGCAGTATTATTCGACTCTATACAAATTGATTATACTGCAAAGGTTAAGAAAAAATATTTTTTATTTATATTCCTAATTAAAGTGCAGTATTAACATTCCATACTGCACATTAACTTGTGGGGGATTTTGTAATTTCTTGTGAAAAACTAAAAGACATGCAGTATTTAATAACTTTACTGCAGTTTAACTTGTAGGATGTTTTGTAGTTGCTTGTAAAAGACCATTTAGTTTACAATATTTATAAATTTTACTGCATATTAATTAGTTTGCTTCATCCAGTTAATACTACCTAAAATACTTAAAGTCAAATACTATTCCCTAATACTGCGTTATAATAGGTAAAATTATTAAAATATTCAAACACAGGACAGGCAATATCGCGGTTTGAGGCAGTCTCCTTAATCTGTGGCATAAGGCTGACTTGACGTGCCATGCTGTACCAAAGAGATATGGAGAGTAGAACTAAGGCGAACTATTTCTAGTATAAAAAGTGACCGCTGACAAGCATGAAATTGGTGGCGCCACAGAAAACAAGTATATGAATCTATACATCTATACAGATAAATAAAATTGTAGTGTCTGTTTGTAATGTCAAAATAAACCTTTTTACTAAATGCATATGAAATTATAAACGGTACTCATAAGAAAAACACATTTTTAAAATTTTTTGTCTGTCTGTTTGTTCCGAATAATCTCTGAAACGGCTGGACTGATTTTGACGGACTTTCAGTGGAAGGTAACTGATGTTATAGGGAGTAATATAGGCTACTTTTATTTAAAAAAAAGAATTAGAGTTCCGCTCAAAAAAAAGTATCCAGGGACGAACCCGAGTGAGGCGAGGGTGAGTCGCTAGTTTAAAACATAGCGTCATAAAAGTAAGAAGGTGAATTAAACAAGGAAAGAAAGATTTCCGCTTTGCTGTGGCGCACTTTTCAAAATAGTTCTAGCATAGGCAAACAGCAATATAATTATATATTATTTTCAAGTAATAATAATTCAGCACACTTCACTCCGTTAAAAACGACTAACTTCACATCACATCTACTTGCTACGCTAGTGCTGTAAAACCTAGTTCGCATTAAGCTAGTATTTTAGTCTAGTAGCGAGTAATTTAGTAGCTAAATTACTCGCTACTCACCAAAAATCGTTCGCACTTTGGTCGAGTACAGTTTACAAGTGAGTGGTGTTTTGCAAGATGAATAGCCTACAACGCAATAAAGTAAATAAACTGATTAAGCTGATCGTAACGGCTATTTTAGAAGAGGTTGATGAGGAAATTTGTGTGATTAATAAAAAGAAGCTAAGGGTAAGAAAATGGATCGAAAGACGAGATAAACTAGGAGCTACTAATTGTCTTCTGAAGGAATTAGCATTGGAAGATCCCAAAGAATACTTCGATAGTTTGAGAATGTCCGAAAGTTGTGTAAATTTTCTGTTAATGAATGTTATGGCGGCAACTAATGAACTCGACTAATTCGACAGGTTCGTACTTATTTAGCCGGTGAACCAGTGAGCTCGGACGCGTGGTGGGGGCTGCTACTCGCCCAAAAAAATAGAATAAAATGGATTGACTCGGCTAAATTACTTACTAAACTAATCGACTAAATTTTTAGTGTTCAGACACGTTTAGTTACTAAATTACTCGCTACTAGACTAAAATACTAGCTCAATGCGAACTAGGCTTAACGTGAGTTTCTGAGCTATAATTTGCTGCTCACTACTGGACACTTTTTCAACCTGTTTCCCATATAAGTTAATTCTCCTTAGTTCTCCCTTCCATAATCTTTTCAGACTATTATTTTTGTAAGACAAGAATACTCATTTAGTAATTAGTTATGTTCAGAAGAAAGATTTTATGTAAATTTTATTGATCCATGCATGAGAAATACATGTGATATAGTTTTATGGTGGATTAACTAGTTAAGATTATTAACATCTTGTAAAGATTGTTATATTGTTAGTCATATAAAACAATTTACACTATTAGATTATAATGTACAATGTTTTGATGAATAGTTTTAATAGCATAGTCATAAATGCATGTCCAGTTTTGTTTAAGAAATTACATACTTTTATCAAAATTAAAGGTAATTTTATATTACTATAAGTGTGGAATATCAGTGTTTTGTTCAAAAAAACAGATTGAATAGCAGTATTTTTATAATATTACTGCACTTTAGTTAGTAACGATCATGGAAGAAATGTCTAAAATGCAGTAATAACAGGATTTACTGCATTTAAAACAGTTTTTGAAAAGATTATACAAATAAAGTGTGTGTAGTAATAGGGGCAAAAAAATTAAAATTGCCATAATTATAGTTTTTTTATAAAAAAACTAACGTAACAATGTTTAGTATTTTAGTTTGGAACATATTCTTTCACTTTCCATTCAAGGTTTTATCGAAAAGTCTCTTTTTGATATATTTTTATGGATTCTAAACTTTAGGCGCGTTTTTCTCGAATTCGTGTTTTTGCTGTTACTGCACTTTAGGTTCGGGAGGGCAGAATTATGAAACTAACGTTTGCCCGCGACTCCGTGCATGTTATTAATTTATGTAAAAGTTGCAGCGTGATGCTAGGCTTCATCAATTTTTTTTTTATTGAACTAGTACAAACAACAAACAAACTCTTAAGATTTATATGTATATCTGTATAATTAATATCACTCAGATTTATTATTGATTATATTGATTAGACCTAAAGATACAATTTGAACTCTCTTATAGAGCGCTCATTTGATCATTTGAGCGCGCTTTTTTTGTGAGAACAACTTTAAGCATTGCATTTAAGGTTCAATTTACATTGTTTTATATTATTTCAACTAGAATAATTACCTAAACACGATTGGTGATAGTTTTAAAAGAACTTTTACATGGGATTGTGTATCTAGTACTTTTTGATCAATGGTCCTTTAATACGAAGCAGAAAACAACTATAGTGATTATGTACTTAAAGGATTTATACACAATTATTTATACAATAAGTCTGTGGCTAAAAATAAGATTTTCAAACATTAACAAACTAAATCATGTTGTTTACAAAAAAAAACAACTCTTTTTGACCTTTTTAAATTCAGATATACATACATATTACATGGTTTTCTTTCGAATATAATATAAATCAATATAGCTAGTATTTCTTACCCTAATCTCAACCAAACACTCTCTTGTATGGAGTTAATTTCAACAGATTTTTCATAGTGAGGGATACATTCTTCATACTTTTTGTGGTCGAAGAAAAAGTTACCCCAATGTCTCTGAGCTCTGCTGCTTTTATGATTTGAGAACTCCCAAGCTTTTTCGTAACAGCTAATATCATCTGAAATTTAATAAACCGAATAAAAAAATTAAAAATACAAAGATTCATTTAAAGATACAATCTTTATTTTTCTAGTAAAATAAAACTGGAATGTAAACATTAAAATAAATATCATAATATGTACAATGTACATTAAGAATCAATTCTCATCAGGAATTTAAAAAAAAAAAATTAAGTGTCAATAGATGGCGCTGTATGCTTCGAATTGTTATTATTACTGTTTGTGTAAAAGGAGTATTAAGAAAATGACCCAAAATTATGACTGATTTAAAATAATACTCTTAAGTAAAGCGAAAAACATAATACGTTCTTAAACAAAATTTCCGTAATTATACTTATTTTTCTAAGATTACATTAGCTACTGAGTTTGCACTCCATATTCCTAGATGGCGCAGGTTATATTTTATGATTTCGATTATATCAAATGCACTACAACAACTCTTAAATATGTATTATTTCTTTATTTTGAACTGTAACGGTCATCGCAGTCTTACATTAAAGGCTTAAGAAATAAAAAGTACCTTTTATGTTAGCTTACTATATCTGAATACGCTCAGATTCGACAAATACCTATATAATTTTTTTATCGATCAATCAATCCCTCATGTCTTCTCCATTCTACGTGACATTGGCGAAGTAATCCATGCTCAACTGGCACGCTTGACGTCATTAACAAGAGCATTGAATTAAAATATATTATTTTAAATAACTTATAATGTTATTTTATACATCGAAACTAGCGACTAACCCTCTCTCTGCTCGGGTTCCGCCCTAGTGAAAATTTAGGTTTGTATGTAAGTATTTTTTATGCTGAATCATAAAAAAATAAAAATAAAAAAAAATTAAAAAAAAATGTTTTGGGGTGGACCACCCTTATCACTTGGGGGTATAACAATAGTTTACGTCCTATCCTCAGATCTATTGAATATACACACGAAATTTCATAAGAATCGCTCAAACCGTTTCGGAGGAGTTTTGTTACAAGCACTGTCACACGAGAATTTTATATATTACCTGTAGCGTCACCAAGAAGACAGTATAACTTGACAGTTGGTTTGATGTCAATCTGTTGCTGGATTACTTCGGCAGCCTGAAATAAAATAGGTTGTTTTAGTTATTTAGCGTTGGAAGCTTATAAGCACAATATAAACACATAAAAAGACACCACACATTTACGTACGCTTTTTACACGCTCTATTTATATAAAAAACTAGCGACTCACTGTCGCTTCGCTCGGTTTCATCCCTAGATTGCTTCCCCATACAAACGTTCATCCCCATTTTCACCCCTCTTAAGGATTGATTTCCGGGATATAAGCTATCCTACCCAGGGTCTCAAACTATTTTCTTACCAAATTTCATCCAAATCGGTTCAGAGTTTTGAAGCTTATTCGGTACAAACAAACAAAAAAAACTTTCTTCTTTATAATATTAGTTACATAGATTCATGAGCTTTTAAGTTTTATCTTCCTTTAGTTACTCGTTATATGGTGATGGCCATACTAAGTCTTTGAGTAAAATTGTTATGACATACAGACAGAATGACAGACGAACATAAGATAAACTTAGTACATACAGCTATCAAATATTATTATAATAAGAATAAATATTTCATAGTTGAACTGAAAAAATTAAAAATATATTACCTTGTGTCTCAATTGCAACATAGTGTAGCAAACGATAACATCTTCCCATAGTTGCAATTTAAGATACTCCTCTAAAGCAGCCTTAACTAAGCCTAAGCTCAGGTATAAATCAGCCAACTGTTGTCGCCAAGTCCAAGCCGGGGGAAGTCCCGTCGCCCACAGATAAGAAAGTCTATGGATATTAAATAAATAAAACCTTTAAAATAACAACTTTATAACCTTCAAGATTACTTAAAAGTAATCATTTCACCCTTAGAAGTGATTTTTTGTACCTTTAGAGCATAAAGATGTTTTTTTTTAAATAATTTTATACATAAACATAAAATAAGTAACATACACACAAAAATAAACATACATCAAACCTTACTAATCTTAACTATGAAAATTTTGTTAAATATGAATTTTCACATCATTAATTCATTTTCAAAAACTGTACAAAACTACTGTATTGTATTGTTGTTATATTAAATAATAATAATAATAATATGTTACAAATACAAAAAAAAACATGATTAATAATAAGTCCGACTTAGTAAATTAAAGAACAGTTGACTCACCTGCTAGTACTAGCAACACCAGTTTTGTCATTCACAATAGTTTCACATTGCAACATTGCCCGCTCCACAGTTCTCTTATGATTTGCCTCCAGTTTACATCTGATAAGCAATGAAGCCACCCGAGTGGCCCATGGACCTTTACTTTGGGACAATATGGCTTCTATGTATGGTTGCAGTTCCTCTAACATTAGATCATCTTTAGGTTGAGATTTCTGTATATATTGACTGAAAATGTAATAATTTGCTTTTTATTATTAAAGATATTTAATTAATTTATTTAATGGGGGGTTAAAAAATTATTTAATGGGGGGGTCGGTGTAAGTCTTAGTGGGGCGAGTATCTTGGCCAGGGAACTCGCACCTATAAAATGCTAAGTTGTCAATCGCGCACGCCTAGGGGTGTGAAGCTAGGCTATCAGGCGCACACCGACAAGTGCTTCATACACGTCCACGCCATTGTCAGTCTGCCGCCGTGGACTAGCGATGGACCCACACACGTCATTCTTTGTGGGTCGTCCCTCCTGGGCAATGCTACGGTCCGTAACGAGCTTCACACACTCCATCTGCCTCGGGACCAGTAGTAGCAAAGTATGAAGTGCGAGGGCGAGTCTTCGGCGCCCGATTGCCGTCAGCGGTGTACTTGCGCACCAACGACGACATGTAACCGAACAAACTGGCTAGGGGAAGAAAACCCTGACACAAAAAATAACACAATATCCGAAGACATCACCTCACCAGAGATGGAACAGCAATTGGTCTAAGAGATGCTAACTCTAAAACTAAACTGCAACCACTGCCTTGTGGAGAGATATTGAGTCAACAAAGGCTAGGGCGTTACCCCGAAATAGTAACCGTATCAGAAGATGCTAACTTCGACACAAAAAGAGCACCTACTGCCTTGTAGAGAGATGTTGGGTCATCAAAGGCTAGGGCGTCAACCCGAAATTGTGACGTGTAGCGCCTTGGGAAAGCGCTCCACTATCTCCCCATCTATCGAAATGAAATGAGTGAAAATAATGAGAATGTTCTGCCATGCAATCCGGCTAGCCCCCGGCGCTCACAGGTATCCGGGCCTGTGAGTGAGAAATTGGTTACCGAAGACTGTAAGAGGGTGGGTACCCAGGCCCCCTTACCAGTAAATACTACTGGTCTTAAAGAATGCAAGAGCAATAAGAAGCTAATCCAGCAAGCCTTCCATCCAGGTCTATTTGAGACTAGACCAAGAAGTTTATCACTTAGCTCGATAAGAGACGCTAACATTGAAACACAAATTGAAAACACACAGCACAATGAGATGAATAATATTAAGGACAATAAAGAAGTCAATCATCCCACCTGGCAGAGAGCACCAGTCCTAAGAAATGCCAAAAGGAAGAAAGTATCTTCTCCATCTCCTGAGAGAATAATTGTTACCAATACATTCAGTGGACTTCCAGTAGACCAAGAAGAAGACACAACAATGACACATAGAGATACTGTCAAAAAGGATGTAAAGCCCCCACCCATTATCCTGTATGGTATTGAAGATCTTACTAAGCTAACTGAGCTGCTAGAGGGTGTAGTAAACAAAGCAGACTTCACATACAAAATCATTAACCATAATCAATTAAGGATTAACTGCGCCAATGTAGAAGTTTATAAAACAACTATAGACATTGTTAGAAAAAGAGGACTAATTGGACACACATTTAACAGGAAGGATAAGCGCCCCTATAGAATAGTGATAAAGAATCTTCACCATACTACACCAACCAGTGTGATAAAAGAAGTGCTAGAAGAGACAGGAAATACTGTGATTGGGGAGATTATAAATGTAAAGTATGGCCCAGAGAAGAAACCAACATCTACATTCTTCGCCAATCTTCAACCTAGTCCCAAAAACAAGGCTATAAAAAGCATTAAATTTATACACCATCAGTCGGTAACTATAGAAGACCCAAGAAAACGAACCTCAATAGTGCAATGTCAAAGATGCCAGCAGTATGGACACTCTAAAAACTACTGCATGAGGCCCTTCCGATGCGTGAAGTGCGCTCTATCACACAAAACATCCGAATGCCCAAAGAAGGATCGCAACTCCCCAGCAAAATGTGCCCTATGTCAAGGTGCGCATCCAGCAAACTACAAAGGGTGCGAAGTATATAGAGAAATACTAGCAAGGAAGACAAACACACACATTACGGACCGAAAAAATCCAAAACCAGGTGCCGGTGACAAGGCATGGCCACAAAAGGAAAACCACTCATCTCTTCTAAATCAATGGACCAGACTCACTCCTTCGGCCTGCCCAACTGAACCACGGCCAAAGTCCAACAACACGCAAAAGTCCTACGCTGAAGCCACAAAACCTAAGAAAACCTTCAAAGATGAGAACGACCCCACAACAAGCAAAGCAAAAAGCATAGAAGAGATGCTTTTAAAGCAAGCAGAAAAATTTGATGTAATCCTACAACAAATGAGTATGTTAATCAATCTCATAACAACTCTAGTCACCAAGATTTCACAATGACCTCCCTCAAGATAGCAACGTGGAACCCAGCGGGGCTATCTCCAAATAAGGTAGAGGTAGAAGTTCTGTTACATACCCACAACATAGACATACTACTAGTGCCAGAATCTCACACAACTGCAAACAGTCGTGTTAAAATACAGAACTATAACATCTACTGCACTGATCACCCTGACGGCACTGCACATGCTGGAGCGGCTATAGTAGTAAAGTCTAGTATCAAACATTACGAACAACCACAATACAAAACTGAGCACATACAAGCAGCAACAGTCGCAATAGAAGATCGAAATGGTGCATTTAATGTATCTGCAATTTACTGCCCTCCCAAACATAAACTAAATGAGGGACAATATAATGACTACTTTAACACCCTAGGCACCCGCTTCATAGCCGGAGGTGACTGGAACGCCAAAAATGTTCATTGGGCCTCCAGACTTACCAATACAAGAGGCAGAGAGCTTAAAAAGAGTATAAACAAAAACCATCTCAGGACAATCTCTACAACAGACCCAACTAACTGGCCCACAGACCCAAACAAACTCCCGGATGTCATAGACTTTTTTATTGTAAAGGGACTATCCAGGCTCTTTCACCATGTAGAGACAAGCCTAGACGCAAACTCTAATCATGTTCCGGTAATTCTAACTATTGGCACCACGGTGTTAAACACCGAAAGAACCACCAAATTATATAACAAGCGCACAGACTGGTGTTCATTTCGCGAATGTGTTGAAGATGGAATTAACTTAAAAATACCATTGAAAACCGAATTAGACATCGACGTTGCTGCAAGAAACATCACCTCAGTAATCCAAGAAAGCTGTTGGAAGTCAACACCAGAAGTTAAGGAACGATTACCACAAAATAAAGTATACTCGGAAACCATACGGGAAAAAATCATGGAAAAAAGAAGACTACGGCGCATATGGCATACTAGCAGACACCCAAATGACAAAACAGCGCTAAACAGAGCAATTAAAGAACTAAAAACCCTTATAATAGAAGCAGATGGTGTTGCAATAGATGCCTACTTAGAAGGCCTCACAGCTACTAAAGCAACTGACTATTCATTATGGAGAGCCAGTAAAAACTTGGATCGACCCTTACACCACAAACCACCGCTTCGGAATCCAAATGGAAGCTGGATTAGAACCGAACAAGACAAAGCTGATGCATTTGCGAACCATCTCAGCAATGTATTTAAGCCTAATAACCCAAGACCAAATGCGGATGAATCTGATATCGATACTGTCCTCAACCAAGATATTCAGCTGGATCTACCCTTGAAGTTAGTAACGCCCAAGGAGATATGTAGGAATATTAACCTAATGGACAACAACAAGGCCCCTGGTTATGATCTTATTGACAAAAAAGTCCTTCAAGAATTGCCTTACAAAGGAATTGTGTATCTAACCATGCTTTTTAACGCCATTCAACGAGTAGGCTACTTCCCAGACATATGGAAAGTATCACAAGTAATAATGATCCATAAACCCGGTAAACCAATGCATGATGTCACCTCATACAGACCTATCAGTCTACTACCAATTATGTCCAAGCTGTACGAAAAGTCTCTACTACATAGAATGTTACCTGTTCTCAATGAGAAGAAAATTGTCCCAGAACACCAATTCGGATTTCGAAAAGAACATGCTACCATAGAACAAGTCCATAGAGTGTGCAGGAAGATCAGAAAAACCTTTGAAAAAAAAGAATACTGCTCAGCTGCCTTTCTTGATATACAACAAGCCTTCGACAGAGTCTGGCACAAAGGTCTGCTCTTCAAAATAAAAACCCTATTACCACATACATTCTATGGAGTACTAAAATCATACATTACACACAGAATATTTCAAGTAAGAGAAAACCAATCCACCTCACGACTATATGAAATATCCGCAGGAGTACCACAAGGCTCGGTCCTCGGTCCCGTCTTGTACACCCTGTTTACCTCCGACCTACCTCAAAGCTCCGAGATCACAATTGCCACCTTCGCGGATGACACTGCCTTACTTGCCTCGCACAAATGTCCAACACAAGCATCTCGCATTTTACAAAGTAGCTTGAATGAAACAGAAGAATGGCTAGCCAAATGGAGAATTGCAGCCAGCGTATCCAAATCAGTGCATATAACGTTTACATTATGCAAACATGATTGTGACCCCGTTACCCTAAACGGCAGCCAACTCCCACATCACGAGTCTGTAAAATATCTGGGCATGCATCTTGACCGAAGGCTCACATGGAGAAAACATGTCGAAACTAAAAGGGAAGAAATGAACCTGAAATACAGAAGTCTTCTCTGGCTTCTTGGAAGAAACTCAAAACTGGCGATAGATAACAAACTCCTAATATATAAGACCATTCTAAAGCCAATCTGGACATACGGCATCCAACTTTGGGGATCAGCCAGTACCTCCAACATAATGAAAGTGCAAAGGGCACAAAATTATATACTAAAACAAATATCCAATGCACCGTGGTTTATCAAGACTACAGAAATCCATGAAATCCTCAATATTCCTATGGTCAATGAGGAGATAAAAACACATGGCGAAAAGTACAAATCCCGGCTGCTAAGGCATCCGAACAAACTAGCAGGACAACTTACTATCCCGGAAAGCATCCGCCGATTAAAAAAGCGGCGTGACCTTTTCGACCAGAACAGTCAGAAAGAAGAATGACTTTGTAAAGATAGGGCAGACCCCACTGGGAGTAGAGCCTAACATGCCATTTAACCATCTCATCTGCTCATAGTCTGAAAGACTGATCGCAAGATTTAACCAAAAAAAAAAAAAAAAAAAGAAAAAAAAAAAAAAAAAAAGATATTAAATTTTATGAAGTTTTATTATGATCAAAATATTATTAAGTTCAAATAAGTGAAATTATTTGTATAATTACAAAAAATCTCTTTTAAAAATAAGCTATTTTCAAGGTTGTTTACTCTAAATTAAACTAATTTAGATTAAAACTATAAATGAAATTTTTCCCGTACCTCTGCATGGTAGTTGAATTACGTACATATTTCTTTAAAAAGTATAGCTACTTTGATGTAGCTACATTACTGTAAAGTTTCATCAAAATCAGTTCAGTAGTTTTTACATGAAAGAATAACAAACATCCATCCATCATCATAAACTTTCATATATGTATATATATATATATATATATATATATATACATATATAAAAATCAATTGCTGTTCGTTAGTCTCGCTAAAACTCAAAAACGGTTAGACCGTTTTATTCATTTTTTCGGTTCATTTGAATAATTCTATTTTTCTTTTGTTGGGGGTGTGCCAGGGGTGGTTTAAAAAGAAAAAAAAATAGGGAAAATCCAAAACAACGCTGGAAATTCGAATAGTTTAGAGATGTTTATTTTGTATGGGAATCACTAACTGCTAAAACGTACCTAGCGAAGAACCCGAACAAAGCAAGGGTGAGTCGCTAGTTTATAATAAGTAAGAGTAGGTTAGTAAACTACAAATATTTCAGAATACAAATATTTTCATATTTCTGATATTAATTATTCCAAAGTACTACATCACCTTCATTTTATGCCAGTTATCTACAAAACACACCAAGGAAACTTTGGACTCTGCAATAACAACTTTGTCAATATTTTTGATTTGATACAGATAAATAAAATTGAAATGTCTGTATGTAAAGGCAAAATAACAGCTTTTTACTAAGCCTGTTTGTCTGTTAGTTCGGGCTATTCTCTGTAATAGCTGAACCAATTTTGACAGGACTTTTACTGACAGTTAACTGATGTTATAAGAAGTAACTCAAGCAATCAGAATCAGGGTTCCGCACAAAAAAAATAAAACCCGAGCGAAGTGAGGGTAAGTCTCTAGTTTAACATAAAAGCAAATTGTAATACTAACACTGTTAATAAACATAATGTCTGTTCTAAGCTTGGTAATTCAGCTTGATCAATCTTTTCATTAAATGCAATCTTGTTAAGTCTCACATCATCTTGGAGTTCCACCTCTGCAGGAAGGTCTGAGTTTCCATGGCTGTCTTCAGCTGATGGCCTTTCTAAGTTATCATCCAACCGACTAGATAATGCCAGTTGGGGTAATGCATTCTGCTGAAACTTTGTGCGTTTACCAAGTATACCTTAAAATGAAATATTTTATTAGTTATAAATTGAAAAAAAATCAAGCATCAAGCAAATACACTGAGTCTATAGTATGGATGTAAGTTAGCACTTATTAATTTAGCTTAATACTTTTAGCAATTATTTTGAATACAATAATGTTATAATATAATTACACAAAATGGCTAGCAACTGAACCTCGCTGTGCTTAGGCTCGTCCCTAGTTACGCTTTATAGTTTAGTATAGATTTGTCAGAGACAAGACATTTTTCCGCAGTAAAAAGTATCCTATATGTGGACCAGGATATCATTATACCAAATTTCATCAAAATCTGTCCAGTGGTGTTCGCATGATGTGTTCCCAAACAGACAGACAAAAATTCTAAAAACTACAGATTCAGCCTCAGTATCAATAATGATAACAATTTCAATAAGATTTTCTAAAAATTATTTAATGTACAGATTCAACTCAGTTGAAATTTTATTATATGTATAGATCTGATATTCACCTGTTAACTCTAACTTCAATCCAGCTAATTCTCTAGCTTTTAATAAATATTGGTCCACTTTCTGTATTCTCCCATATATCAAATAGGCTTGAGCTATTTCTAAATATAATAATATTTTAAGTCTTATGTTTTCTAATGCTTGGGATTCATTGAATAATTTTGCAATTAACAGTTCTAATTCATTATATAATGTAGCACTTGTGTCTTCAAGAGCTCTTTGATGAGTGACTTTACATCGAAAACACCACCATAGATGTATCTGAAATTAAAAAAAGAAAAAATATATAATATACAAAACAATCTGTTATAATTTAAATGCATATTAAATATAAAAAGCTTACCAAATTTTGATCAACAGCATAGAGTGCAGAGAATAACTGTGATGCAAAATATAATAACTCTGGATATAATATGTTAGTATATAAAGGCTCTGAGTCACGTTGTAATTTAGTTAATACATCTAAGGACTTGGGCCATTCAATACCTAGAAACTGTTCCAATACCAACTCATTAGGATGTGGATTCCAATTTTTCTCACAAAATGTTAAAAATAAATTAATACCAGTTTGCAGAACTTTTTCTAAGGTATTACTATCATTGGAATGATTTTTTAATTTCTTATCTAGAGTATCATTTTCCAAATCACCGGTTAGGAATTCCTTACATAAATATATTTCTTCTATTTTCCATTGACCCGACCAAAGCTTCTTTATGATATTTGAATCTAAAATGATAAGATAGTAAATAAAGTTCAAACAACGCCAATCGCGAAATTCATGTTTGAATATACAATAATAATGTTATATTTGAATTACCTGTTTCACTTATTTGGGTATCAAAGTTGCATAAATAAAACATAAAATCTGCGTCTAATCCCATATTTATTTTCAGTTTAATATAGTTGTGTATAATTTATTGAAGGAATACGAATAAATAAAGATAAAAAGATTCTTTAACCTCTTTAATAATTACTTCTTTCTCATCAAATTTCAATACGAAAACATGTGTTATTGACTTTGGCATTGATGACTTTGACGTTAGACAACTTTGACGTAACTGGAGCGAATTACAGATTAAAGAGTAAAAATAATTTTTAAATATAGTATAGAAAACACATAATAATACAATATATTTTAAATTACATTTTATAATAAAGAAATAGTACTTTAAAATATATATAAATTATTATCTATACTTTCTATCGAGTCGTACTTAGAAAGCTAACACAAGCTAAACCTTATGAGATACTTTAAAACAATGTACTAGAAAATTGTTAAATTGTAGGTCTTAATGAGGCTTATAAACAGAAAAATTTACATTTAGCATAAATCTTTCTCCTAACTCCCAAGGTACACTTGCAACAACTATTTATAGATTTATTTAAATTAAAACGTACCTAAGGACAAACACGAGCGAAGCGAGGATAAATCACTATTAGAGAATAAAATTATACAAAAATATAGAACATGATTTTTTAAGATTTCTCTAGATAATGTTTGACTATATTTTTATAATCTCTAAATTTAAAAAAAATATAAAAATATTTTTACTCTGTGTTGACTGGTGAGTCTGTACTCTGTAGTGATGGTGGGTGGGTGTCGTAAATTTTTAGGTTAAGAAATATAAATATGATTTTATGAAATATATATCAAACATTCACCAAAAATGAAATTTCATTATAAAATGGAAACAGTACTGATAGCAGTACCTGCTATTCTCTGTGCTTTATTATTGTTAAAACTTATTTTTAATTTGCGGTAAGTGAAGAGAGGTTATAATACTTTCCCGCCTGATAAGATATATTTTAGATTAAAAAAAACTTTTATTCAGGTCGACGATACTTTGGCGAGTGAATTGTTGGTTCTGTAATCGTAATTTTTGGGTGAAGTACGTTGAACGGAATTCTTGGACATGTCCGAAATGCGAGCAGTACAACGGATTTACGAAGGTAAATTTAATAGTAACAAAACCTTTACTTAGTAATAAAGTTTATTTATTTATTATTAATATAAATCATATTTTAATGTTTTCAGGATGGCGACTACAACAAAGTTCTAAATACAGGTAGTGAACAAATTTCAAAAAGCCCTAAATTATTCCAAAGAAGTCCACCCAAAAATGGCCTCTGCAAAATGTGTAATATAAACCAACAGCTCAAGGTGACACAACTCGCAAATTTTGTTCCTATGAATGAAAATAAATACGATGAAGAAATTGAATCTTACAGGTCAGTGCCAAAATTATGTAATAAACATACTATTTTTACTTTTATACTATATGCATACTTTACTTTTGAAAATACATTATTTAGCGAGTGCCAAAGTTTATTCTTGTTATCTTGTTTATGTAGCAATGTGTGTTAAAGATACATAAACTTTATTTAATAAAGATATATATGATAACATACACTACAAGATAATTATAATATTTTTATTACATGCTTTTCAGGAATCAGCTTGAAAAAGCCTATAAATTATGCAGCCCATGCAGAAATGTTTTGCAAATGAAACTGCACAAAGAAAAAGAAACTTTACTGGGTTCAAAACTTTTAGAAGCAAGAACAACAGAAAAATTAAATGTTAAGAAAGAAAATCAAAATGAACTAATAAAAAATATTATTAATAATACATCTAAACTATTAGCCGTGATACTTTTGATTCTTATAGCAATTGAATGCTATACAATTGCCTTGAAACATAAGAATTTATCTAACACAATACATAACTTAAAACTAATATTATACAGTCTCATAGTAAGAATAATTTCTATAGTGAAAATGAAGACGCTACTCGCATTCCCTGTGCTCGAGAATTTTATTGACATAAACAATACTATTGATATAGACTTATTTACAAGCTTTAACTCTGGACTTAACGATTTGACGCAGCAAGCTTTGGGAGGCTTTGTATGTTTTTTACAGATTATTGGACATTTTTGGAATATAAACAAAGCAAAATATAGTATAGTTATTGACTTATTGTGGTCTATATTTGTAATTACTTGCATAGGACATAGATATGTGACATTTAATCCATTAATAATGAGCTTAATTAAAGTGAGTACATAAATCATTATTTTTAAATGATAATTACCTTCTTGCCTTTAGCCTATTTGAAGGGTACAGGCAAAGAACAGGGAAAATGTCTTAAATGAGTTCGTTAGAATAGATTATGAGAGAACAGCAATTTAAAGTTATGAAGTTAAAATATTTTTATACATTTAACTAAGTACATTTTTGGACAATCCTCCTTATCTACCACCTACTTCTTATTTATGTCATGGACATTTCCAGTTCTTTTTACTTCGGACATAGATAAAAACAATTATTAGCGACATCTGTTGAATATTTGTAAAAACTAGTGACTGGAAATGCAATTACCATAGACAGATTTGTTACCAATACAAATCAAAAAATAACAAAAATTGTGGCATACCCTGTTCTTTGCCTGAATCCTTCATTTGTTAAATTATTATGTATTAAGTTTACTTGAACTCTTAATAAATTTTAAATGTTCTATCAAAAAGTAAACAAACAAAATTTTTTAACATATATTTTTATTTTCAGTTATCAAGTACTCTGGCAGTATTGCTTGTTTATAGAAACATGAATAAGACTGTTAAAACGATAACAAGAAAAAATATCACACCAAAGAAACTAAAGAAATTAGCAAATGGTTCTCCAAAAAAGTTGATCGATGAAGAAGATAACATTTCTTTGGATACTGATGATGATGTATCACTTAGTAAATTTGGTTTACACAATTTTACAGATTCCTCAAATGAAACTCTTGGCCACTTTAATAATAGTTTGATCAATGGTAGATCATTTACACCGAGGGGTGACAGTTTGTGGAGCAAACCTAAACTTAACTCGACTTTCTGTGTTAATTCTGTAAAAACAAATAGCCCCAATCCTCTTTCTAACTCGGTTTTTATCAAACCCTCCTTCAATAAGTACCAAAAACTGACAAATGACTCTGATTCAGATTTAGACGAGAGCATTAGTTCTTTATGCATAAGTAGTCCTAAAAAGAAGAGTTCTAAAATAAATCCAGTGTTTGCTCTGCGTAAATTCAGTGCATCACCCAATTTTGTAGCCCCCACACCTTTGAATAGGGCACGACCGTTGATATCTCCTAGTAAGCTGGGGCACAGTACGTCGTGGGTGGCTGGCGGGTACTGGGGAACAGAGGGAGACAGGCAAATATTCAATGTTAACGGCAGCCGTTCTTCCAGCCAAAGTTCAGGGTTCGAATCCCAAGCATCAAGTATGAACCAGCGAAACGTCTTTTCTCAGCCGCCATCCCGTGAGGAGTCTCTATGCGGTGAACCAGACCGACTATTAGATAAATATCAAAATTACAATCATGCCCCAGCATTCACTCCGATAAGTACACCAGTATTTCCCCAAATGCAGTATAACAGCCATGTACAGATACCACAGGCAAGGTTCGCTCAGACATATGTGTCTCAGAATGTTTTCCAGCAGTATGTACCAAACAGTATGTTCAAAGCCCCTGGAGGGTCTAGACTGATCAAACTGCCTCAGGAGAATTCCTTCACATCCCGCTAATGCTCAACCACTAGTCTCTAATAACTTTGGACTAACATATTTTTTTGCCTTTTTTTGTTCTTTGAAAGTTTTTTATTAAAATCCATGAACTGCCATTATATTAAGAAATCTTGTTAAGTTATCATGCATTAGTTTTAAGCGGTTATTAGTTGTAATGAGTGAAGTTAGCTGTAAGATTTGATCTCGTGTTGGTTGGTCGCTCCGGTAGGTCTGGAGACGGCGATATGAAAGCATTAAGAATTATTATATTGTTACGATTTTTATAATATGGACGTCACTGTCCTGTCTCTTAACAAAATGTGATATTTAAAGACTAGTAATTTTTGCAAAAAGTGAGAAAAAAAATGATTCTTGATGTTATCATTGTTTTGATTTTGTCATCTTATAATGAAAACTTTTTGTGAAACTCCTGAAATAAAAGATAAATATACGATCTTGGTCTTTTTTTAAATTATTAATATTAAAAATTAAAATTATAATTGATAAAATATACTACACATATATAATGAAGCAGCACCGTAGGGAAATCTGTTCATGAAATATTTTTTTAAAACAATCATTGTAACGTATTTATATATTTTTGTCTGTTTATGGCAAAATATTACATAAGATATGTACATTCATGATTCTATACATAAACAATACCTACTAAAATATTTACTTAAATCAATGTTACAAAAATTGTTTTAAAAAATATTAAAACTAAGTATAATGAATCGAAGTTAACTCGTTAAAATGATATAAATAAACTCACGAATTCTTGGCTTTTCTCTCAGATCGTTGTAAATATTGATGTGGCATCGGCGGTACATAGGTATCTTCATATAAAGTGGACGAGTAATCTGATACGTCTGTGCATGCCCAATCGTGTTCCAGATACTTTTTTAATCCCCATTCCGTTACATTACCCTGTATATTTACCCAAAAATGGTTAAATAGTTGCAGATTCCAACTTTCAGCTACAGTTAAATAGTACCATTCCATTTGTTTAATAAAAAATGCGCAATAGTTCAAATATAAATAATTGTACCTAGGTAATACTAGCGACTAACCCTCGCTTCGCTCGGGCTCGTCCCTAGCTTGATTTCCAATAAAACTTTCATCCCCATTTTCACACCCATAAGGGATGATTTCCGGGATAAAAAGTATCCTATGTCCTTCCCAGGATCTCAAACTATCTTACCAAATTTCATTTAAAGCCGTTCAGTAAATCCAGAGATTACCCCCCACATTTAACGTCACAAACTTTACCTCTATAATATTAGTATAGATCAGGTCAAGCAGTTTATAGAATTCGAGTCTTTCTGTCTATAAAATCACGCACTATACCTACTCGAGAATCGCACTATCAATTGTTTTTTTTTATTGAATAAGATTACCTACTATTATAAGTTTGTATATTATGTGTGTGTGTTTACTGAAATGGCTGAATGGATGTGGATTAAACTTTATACACGCATAGATTGTGACCTCCCTGTTGAAAAACTCCAATAGAATCCCATCAAAAGCGACAAAAGCCACATAGAAACCAATAAATATGTATTGGTTTCTATGTGGCTTTTGTCGCTTTTAATGGGATCCTATTGGAGTTTTTAAATAGGGCTAGAAATTGGAGTAACACATAGGGTATTGTTAGGCGCCTAGGATGCACCCTCCCGGACAAAACAAGGGTTGATCACAAGGTAACTACTTTAATTCTAATCGACGAAGAACTAACTTTGCATATACTAAAACAAAGAAATATACAGTGCCGGATTCAACCTTAGCGCCGCCCCTGGGCATAGTAAAAAATGCCGCCCTACAGCGATATTTTGCATAAAATGGGTAAAGTTTCGATAAAGTTAATTTCTTTTGAAAAATACAAAAAACAATTTATAAATCATATCAATTATTTTCTGGAAAATAAAAAAAGCATTTTCGATAACTCGAAGAGTATGTTTTTTCCTACTCTCCGAAATTTGCCGCCCTGGGCACTAGCCCTGAATGCCGCTAGTGTAAATCCAGCGCTGAAAATATACGTAGGTATATACATACAAAACACTTAGTGAGATCTGGTTGAGGATAAAATTGATGAGCACTTCTTTTATAATAACGCATATTTGGTCCACATAAGGGCTTTGGAAGGTGGTTGTAGACGAGGTCAGTGGTAGTCACAAAATTCCCACAGGCGTCGTGACTGTCGTGCCTGATTATAGAGTAGACGTTGCCCTGTAAAATATGTACATATAGAAAAACCTTTATCTTATATAAATGTTTATTGTTATATAAATGTTTTTATTAGTGTCATTTCAATAGAAATTCCAAAATTATTTGTCATGCAAAATACCTGTAAACTGTTTAATTTGTTCAATCTAAAATCTGGTTGTCTCGATTCTGGCTTTAATTTTTCGTAATTTATCTCTTCCTTTGAAGGAAAGTAAAATGTGCCTCCTTTCGGGCACTCTATTCTGTCTTCTACCCAATTTCCTTAAAAATAAATATACGGATATGAAAACTATCAATAATAATAATTTAAAGTTTGATGCTAGGAATTTCCGAGGAATTTCTTTATTATTTTCCAAATTACCTACTTAATATTAGTCGGTGTCCCAAATTAAAGAAAACTAAATATTCTCTGTCGAAAATACATAATATGTACTTTATACCTATAGTTACGACTAGATTTCCATACGCATATTTTATTGCTCACCAACTGCTTATTTTTTTTTAATTTAGCAACTAAACTACAGCCTTCTGACCAGCTCTATTTGAAATTTATTTATGTACATATATTCGTAAATATGTTTTTTTTAGCCAGATCTTCCCGCTTTATATGAGATATGTACAATAGGAAACCGAGCTATATTTTTGGAATTAGCTAGCTACTCGTAACTTGAACAACTGAGACGACTAACCATAAGATTAGCTAGAATTTAAGTTCAAATGATTGGATTGTGAAAGTTAGTATATGTATGTTTGTTACTGCTTCAAGCTGTAACGGCTAGAGCGATTTTGATGAAATTTTGTACACAGAGATAATCAAGAGTAGGTAATACAAAGACTTTGGCATCTAGGGCAAACAAGTTTATCATCCTTATTAGATTGATAGTGAGCAGATTTATATTGATTTATGGTTGGGTACCTTATAGTGAACAAATTATCATACCTGCTTTAAAAGTATCGATCAAAATATGTAATAGAATTTTTACGTTAAATTTATATGTTATGTAGGTCTCTATAGAATTTTTACTGTACTTTTGCTGTAAACTGCAGGCGTTACGTTCGAAAACATGTTAATCTAGAAAACTTAGCTGCGCGATTAATTCAATGCAAGTCGTAAAATCTCTATTGAACTGTAGGCTTTATTGACTATATTATTTCTTATATGTAGGTATAGTTTACCTAATAACACTCCTGTGCAGAAGACAGGTCTAGGCCTCAGAGCCTTGGCAATAGCCTCCGCTCGAGTTGGAGATTTGGCCCTTGTATTTATAGTAGTCATTATGTTAAGCAAAAATGTATGTAAAACATATGTAAATTATTTCTATTAATATAAAAAACTATGTTTATTTACAGTGATTGGTTGACATGACTTTATGTATATAAAGATAAACTATAGATTTTTTGTTACCTTTGGCGATTATATAAAACCTTAAAACACATATATTATTTTTAGAAAATACCTACCCATAAACTTAATGCAACATAATTTTTGTTAAACAAGCTTATTATTATGATGTCTTCTAATATAAATTGTAGGTAAATAGTTATGTAGGTAGTAAGCCTTCAAACTTCAAAAAAACATGATCCAAAAAAAGTATGACTTCTCAAAATATGTACACTTTCTTTGGATGTAATATACGTGATACATATTTAGACTTTAAAAGACATGCGTGAAATCTTATTTTAATTAGGGTGGTCTCATTTAAATGTCAAAAAAGGTCTTTTATAACAAGTGTAATATGTTTAAGTCATTAGTCAAATACTTAATACTTTTATCATTATCATCATAGTTTTGTAGCCACTACATATATTTATTTATTTATTTATATATAACTAGCGACTCACCTTCACTCTTCTCGGGTTCGTCCCTAGTTACATTGTAATGTTTAGTATTGATTTCTCAGAAATGGAATATTTTCCCACAGTATAAAGTATATAAGTTGACTTGGATAATCAGCTATCATCATCCCAAATTTCATCAAAATCTGTCCAGTGGTTTTCTAGTGATGTGTTCCCAGACAGACAGACAGAAGAAAAATCTAAAAACTAGATTCAGCCTCTGTATTGATAATAATGACTATTTCAATCAATGAGATTTTCCAAAAAATATTTAATATACAGATACAATTCAAGAATTTTACTACATGCAGATATTGATATAGATATGTTTTTGTTTAAACTATTACCTTACTAAGGGTAAGTAATTCCTTTATTGCTTATAATTGTGTCTTCACTCCATATCCCATGCAGGGTAGGCATAATGTGTAAAAATGTACATAATATAAAAGAGAAAAAATAAAAAATGAGAACACACATTAGAAAATTAACTTTATTTTAATATTGATGATCTTAATCTATGCTGTATCTTTAACAAAGAACCACAACAAAACTTTTTGTACAAAGTTTCATATAAATTAAACTAAAACAATTCATAAATCCAAAACAAGAATATAGCTAAATATATTATTTTATGAAATTTCTAGTTTGTTTATTATCCTCTAGGTCTAGGACATAGACACTCTGATAAATATACTATAACACCTGGTTTGTAAATAATAACGAGAAGTTTCTACCAATCAAGATATTATTGCTATTTTATATATAACTTTATTCAGTCTCCATGGGCAGATTGAGCTTTGGTTTGGGCAATATTTGCAAAAGTGCTGACAGTTGGCTTTCAAGAGGACCTGACTGGTCGACAATGTTCTTCATATTATTTTCAACTTGCAGTAGGTCCTGGTTAATTATTTCCATATTCTAAAATAAACACAAAGCATAATTTATGTATTTTATAATATAAAGAATTTTATAGTATTTAAGTCTTAAGTGTTAAACTGCTTAAGCTAAATATAACAGTAGAAATTATGGATTCTTTATTAGAATTTTCTGTTAGCCTACTGTATTGAGTGTACATTTATTTTATGTATACTTCAATATATTATATTCTTTACTGTATTTCTTTAAAAACACTTATATCAAAAATATACCCTTTAAAGAGAAATATTTATACATATATGATTTGTTCATAGTTGGAGAAAATGGTGTTATTTGAGGTTTATCAAACCCACACTCAATTATATGTATGTATTGTATTCAGCCTTTTTTAACATCCCACTGCTGGGCACGGGCCTCCCTTCAGTATGAGGGGAATCAGGCCATAGTCCACCACGCTGGCCAAGTGCGGGTTGGCGGTCCTCACATGCCTTTTGAAAACTTGCTAGGTTTTCTCAGACATGCAGGTTTCCACACAACTGATTTGCACATGAAAATATTAGAGATGCGTGACCCGGGATTTGAACTTGCTTCACTCAGTTTCCCTAGCGAGCGCGTTACCACTGGGCTACCACTGCCTTTTAATTATATGTATATCATAAAATATATATTACACTAATTGCTATTTGTAACTGAACATGATATTTTACAAATGCCGCAAATATTAAGTATTATATTTGTTGAATTAGATATAGTATCTATTTATAATTTTCAATCTACCCTTTTATTTACCTACCTTAATCATTGATGAATATAGATGCTTGAAATTTTTATCACTATATTTTATAAATCCACTAACATTTGATTCCGTATCTGATATCATTGAAGTCATTTTGTTTATACGTAAAAGATTTTTTATTCCTTCGTTAGCAACGTTAGATATACAATTTTTAAATTTAATTTACAATACAGATTTACAAATGTCAAGCACATTTATAAAATGAAGTATACAACAAATGATTTGTCGTTCAGAAATAGTATTCGCAATAGTGTAATGAAAATAATATTCGAATAAATGATATGTTAATAAAACTCACTGCAAGCTAATATATAATAATATTAATATTAATCATAAGAAATTACAGTGAATTTAGAATTTAAATGTATATAAAGTTTTATGTGCTTACATATTTTCAAAACGTTTTTAACATGACATTGACGTTACAAATCTCCTAATGTCAAGTTCAGAATCGTCTGTCATCTGCAGCAAATTACTAATTAGAAAAGCCCCAAGAGAATTTGTAACCAATCCGCATCTTCTTGCAGGTTTTCTGTGTTTCTTGATTGGTCGGGAACTCGTATCCTGTTTGTGCGACGTCAATGGGAACAAGGACTGCAGTAGCGAATACAGAGATGGAGATATTTAAAATAATATCGTAGAAATGAAATAAAATAGTGAATTTGTGCAATAAACATTGTAATTAAAGGGCAAGTGTATGTGGCTTATTCAAGTATTGTGTGGTGCAAATAATATTATATTACATTATAAATTTCACCGTTTTCCATCAGTATGAAATGTTTTTAATCGATTATTGACAAAATTATTGATTTTAAGATAAAAGTGTCTAATATAATCAAAAATCCGAGCAGTATGGCTAAAGAATTGAATCCTTTATTATAATTAATCTCTATTTTTTTGCAATCATGATCTTGTTTTCTTAGTGTGTCATGACTAGTCTTTTTATTTATTTTAGTTTGCATTCGCTTATTTATCATGATTTCTGACTCTAAGCGTATAATTTATATATTTTTTTGTATAACTTATATTGTAAGAGATTTTAATTGCCAACTTATAACATGTTATCTATTTAAAATGTAGTGTTACAGTTAAAAATGTAAAATGTATTTAGTATTCTTATTTTCCTTTCTTTAAAGTTTGTTTTAACTTTTAGCTTTATTCAACTCATTTTTTCAGTCCAGTCCCAAATCTATTGCATTATTATATATAACTGAGTATATATTTTCTTTTCATACTCTCTGCTTTCAGACCTTTCCCCGAACTATGATGTTTACTCAATATTATAGAAAATAAAAGCATATAATTCCACTCTTTAAAATTTATTAAAAGAAATTATTAATAGTGCTGTTGTTCTCTACAGTTACAACATGTAAATAATACAAAATATTTTTTTTTTACATATAGATGCTCTATAAGAAAATAAAAAGATGTATTGTCATTACTTACACTTAAAGGACTAATATTCACACTCATTTTTCATGTTCATTCAGTTTGGGAACAAATTAATTAAATTATAAAACTGGCTAAAATAGTACCAAACATTATTTTATTAATTTATATCTTAGTAGCTTGTGACATTTACTTTAATTTACTAAAATAACATTTTTATCAGGCATTGTTTTAAAAATTTTATGAACACAAAACTCACACACAGTTTTTTGTCATATAAATCCAATTGTAAAATTAAGATAATTATAATTCACCATGCACTTGGCTAGCAACGCAAATGAATAGACCGCATTAGACGGCAGTAGTTTGCCGGCGCCGGCCGGGCTGGCGTCGCGACGTCGCTCCACCCCTACACCCCCTGCCTCTCTCGATCCCACTTGTTTCGTTTTCTCTTGCAACATAACGTTTGAACTTTGATGGTGTTTCAAAACGAACGACAACTTAACCAAAGTTTTTCTAAGGATTCTAATATACACCCGTTTCAGTTGACAATGTTCGTGTAATTTAGTACGTCATGTCTGATCATGACGCTACGTGTGTGGAAAGTGAGGAAACCCAGGACAAAGAGCGTGGCGAAACAGTCGAGGAGTATATTGACAATGTGACTGAGAGTGGAGAATGCTCATCTGTGCCTAATGAAGCTAGTGCCAATAATGATGAATCTCTAGTTAAAGAGAGAGTCAATAGTGGGGTCGATGAAAAGAAGGATGTATATGGTAATAGTCCAAAAGGATCTATACTATGGACGGAAGAAGATTCGCAGTTACGTGTATCGTGGAACTTGGTGGAAGGGACTGCTACACCCAAAGACTACGTGGCATTATGTTACACAGGTGAGGCTTTAGAAGTTTCATTTAAAATTTTATTAAATTTTTCCTTTTAAAAGTTTGTAATTTAGGAATGTGGAGAAAATAGAAATATTGAAATTTGTCGAATTTTTGTCTAATCTCTTGATTATTTGTGTTTATATACAGGTTACCTATATATATTGTGTTTACATTATATATTTTTGTTTATTTTGAATACTCTCATTGTTATGTTGAAAGCTGCTTAATATACGTAATCATAAAACTTGATAACAGGACAGAATTAAGGAATTATATATTTTGAGATAAATTAGGTTTTGCAAAACGAAATTATATTTATTTAGGTAGCCCATTGTCCAGGAGTTTTTCTAATAATCTATGATTCAGCTTTAAATAGGTAATGTCAAGAATACTTTCAGCCGAACTACCTTAATCTGACTACTAGTAACGACGACTAATTAAAAAAAAAACGGGAAAAGTGCGAGCTTAAAACAAAATTATTAAGAACTAGCGGCGCACCCTCGCTTCGCTCCGGTTCACCTCTAGGACAACAAAAACAAATCTATCCTACGGGAACCGTATATTTTTTAGGGATAAAAAGTCTTATGTGTTATTCCAAGTTATAATCTATCTCTGTGCCAAATTTCATTCAGATCCGTTCAGCCGTTCTGGCGTGAAAGAGTAACAAACATATTCACAAACTTTCACATTTATAATATTAAAAATTCCAATTTGCCCTTTAGCTACAAAACCCTAAACCCTAGAAATATTAAAGGATTAAAATATTAATAAATTTTTTACAGACGAAATTAAATACATTTTACCTGTAAAAATTTAATTTGTCGCAATAGATACCATTTTGGTACAATTTTTGCATATTTCTCAATGTTTGTAAATCAATGATATTCGTCCATTTCTTATTGTCACTTAAATCATGACATTCAGTCCATGAACCAAGACCCCTTCTCAGACGCGAAATGACTGGTACAAATTTCATTTCGTCCATACTTACTCTCGGAAGGCCTTTTGCGGTCCTCAAACCTTGCTCTAAAATAATATGACAGTTACATACCGTATCGGAGTAGGTGTAATTTATTTCAATTAATATAATAATTATTTTGATAAAATTATAATTTAATTAATCGTACTTTTGAGAATTCGTAAAGAGCTTTTGTTGTAGATATAACAAAAGAACGTTAAATTATCGTGAGAATGTTTTATACAATGTTCTCGTTTAGACAATAACTAAGTAGAAAATATCGGTCCAAAATTCATGAACTGATGATAAAATTGAACAATGGTACAAGCCTAACAAAAAAATTGAATGAATTTACAATAATATTGAGAATTTAAAATTGTAAAGAGATTGAGTGTTTAATCGTTGTTTGTTCTAATATTTAAAGTCGGAATTTAAAGAATAGTTTTGCATTTTGTAGCTTATTTATTAAGGAAGCTTATTCAGTGGATTGATATATTTTATTTATTTCAAGTTATTACAAATATCATTAAGTGTATTCTAAGCATTACGGTGTTTAAATAAAGAAAGGTTCATCTTCATTAGAGATAATGAACAAAAAAGAGCTATGTAAAGTAGGTACAATGTGAAGTTTTCTTATGTAACATGATATAAAATATTTAAGTATGGAACAAAACTTTAATATCAATTTCATTGTATTTGAGAATATTGGTATCTTCTCGAATTATTATTCTCAGTCACAACATACTGTTATATCAGCGAACAAAGGGTGCGGAATAAGAACTAGAGCATTCCTTCTTCAGTTAAAGAACCTTTGCGCAAACAAAGCAACCTTCAAAGATTTGCATGTCACCACTGCGTCTGATTCATTGTTAACTTTGATATTACATGTGAAGTACAATACAAAAAAATTTACGCTTAATAAAAAAAACAGACGAAAAAAAATATTTTTGCGTTTTGATAAGAAATAATAAGTTATTGGAAAATATATTAAGATTATATAGATTCGGTCGTCAATTTCCACAAAACCATACTTTGTTAATCATAGATTGTACAAGACAATGTTATAGAGAAAATACACACTTCAATGCAATCGCATTATTGCAAGAAAGTATAAAAAATAATGCCCAGAATCGTAGCGACAATCTTGACGCTACTAGAATCGCTCTCTTTTGATAAGAGGGTCGTAGTTTCACCCCACTGACAATTCTAAAATAAAGCTTCCGTTTCTCTGATAGGTCTTCAAAAGTTCCTCACAATACACTATTCATTTATTTCGTTTGCAAACTTGAAAGACGGAACTCATCTTGTACTGACTTATTCAATGGCTGTACTCTCCAAAAACTTTCTTTACTGCTATTTCTTGTAACGGTAGATATATTTTATTTTTTCTACTTACCTGATGTTATCTGTAGTGAGGGCTATCATCAACTGAAGCAAGATTCGATGTCTTTGGAATCTTATACTATACTAGCGTTGCCCGCTGCTCCGCCCGCGTTCAGATGACCAAAAACCAAATTCATAGGTTTTACAGATTAGTATACTCTTACATTGCAGTTTTTGCATTTTTTCTCACAAATGAGACATTTTCCCGCGGTAAAAAAGTATCCTATTGTTGACCCGGATAACTAGCTTCACCATACCAAATTTCATCAAAATCCCTCCAGAGGTTTTCTGTGATGCGTTAACAGACAGACAGACAGACAGAGAGACAGACCAAAATTCTAAAAACCATAGATTCGGCCTCTGTATCTATAATAATGTCTATATCAATAAGATTTTCAAAAAAATATTTAATGTACAGATTCGGCTTAGTTACAATTTTATTATACCTATGTATAGATTAAATTTGAATTGTATAGAACTAAACTAAAACTACGAGGAATACGGTCTAAGCTATTTTTTTTAATTCTTAAAGCCACGAAATCTAGATAGAGATCATTAAAATTTTAAACATATACCTTAATTGTCATTGAAATGTATGTTATATCATCATAGATTTCCTGTTGCTCTAAACTCGGGGAATTAAGGATATTCGCTATAAAAATCTTAAAATTATACACAAATTAACGGTATAAATAATAATTTAAATAATGAATATTTTTTTCGTTTTACATATCTAGAAATATTTATGTTTAGTAAATTTTGGACCGCATTGTAAAGATATTTTTACTTAAACAGAAAATTTATACATATATAAAATTCTAAGTCGAATCTGTACATTAATTTTTTTTTGGAAAATCTTATTGAAATAGATTTCATTATTATCGACACTTTTTAGATTTGTTGTCTATCTGTCTGTCTGGGAAGGCATCACGAGAAAACCACTGGACAGATGGAGAAATATTGGAGAGTCCACCATCGGGTGATGGTGAGCGACCCCTAGCTGAGGAGGAGAAAGATATATGAAAGTCATCTTATAATTTTTTTTAAAACTAACAGAATTATAGGTAGTTCCGATAAATATCCGGTATTATATCTAAAATATTCATAAAATAAAGACGAACTTCCATTTCTTAATATAAAAATATATTTTACAAAGCAAAAAAATGATCAATTACGGCAATTTAAGGTGTATCTAACAGTGGCGTAGCAGTTGAAAGCACAAGTGTCACAGATAATGTTCTCTCGGCGAAACAACTATTTTTTTGCCACATAAACCAAATAGTTCAAAGTATTTTCCGTGAAAAAACGACACAGTATCTGTAGTTTTTGCAGATTGTAACGTTTCTCGAACCAGCAAGACTGGATGCGAGTTGGCTGTAACTGTACAGCGCGAGCTTGTTGCAATAATTGAAAACAGGAAGTACACTCCGCCCTCTTGATAACATCGCTGCACTTGCTTCAAATGTCTTATGTTACTTGAATTAAACTATATGAGATAAAGATAATTAAGAAGAAGATAATTAAAATAATTATATTAAAATAAGTATAATACCTTTTTTTACTAAATGAACAAATAATTTAATAAAATATAATAATATAACGAATTGATCCTTTAAACAAAGTTTAAGATTATTTTAGAAATGAAGGTGAATTGCAGGTATATAAGATGCCTGGTATATAAGATCGAAAGAAAAAAACTTCGTAATACCTACTATTCGACATTTTTATTCAAGTAAATTACAAAACTTATTCGCCAGAAACCTTTTATTTCAACAGTGGCAAAGATTTTATGGTAATGCCAATTATAATTTTTCTTTTTAAAGTCAAAGCGAAGTAGCCTTGCTCTTGTATTAATGCACTTTTAATGGAGGCAATGATTTCCTAAAGTTCAAGAAAGTGCATTCTGCGCCCACGCATTTAATTGTGCGCCCGCGCAGGCTCCCGCGTCGATACCCTGCAAATTGATAACCGCTTTTATTACTTAACACACCGTTTTATTACCAGTAAAATGGGGGTGACTCACATGGCGGGCCTCAGTATTCTTTAAAGATATTAACGAGGATGCATAATATTTTCTCAGCAAACTTAATTTGGGCTTCAAAGTCAATTATTATTACGGTCGCTTTGCAAAAATGGAGATGCGTCATGATCGCTTTTTATGTTTAATCAAAGAACATCATATTTGGTGTTGGTTCTTCAATAAGAAATGGTTTCTAATTTCGCTTACTAATTTATAATACAAATATTTCTTTATTTATTTACTAGCATTGCCCGCGGCTCCGCCCGCGTTCAGGTGACCAAAAACCAAATTCTTAGGTTTTATATATTAGTATACTCTTACATTGCAGTTTTTGTATTTTTTCTCAGAAATGAAGCATTTTCCCGCTGTAAAAAGTATCCTATATGTTGACCCGGATAACCAGCTATCACCATACCGAATTTCGTCAAAATCCCTCCGGTGGTTTTTCTGTGATGCGCTAACAGACAGACAGATAGACAAAAATTCTAAAAACTATACATTAGGCCTCTGTATCGATAATAATGTCTATTTCAATAAGATTTTCCAAAAAATATTTAATGTACAGATTTGGCTTAGTTACAATTTTATTATTATGTATAGATAATGTTAACTGTTAAAGTAAATTATAGATACGCCTAATTACTC